GGGCCTGGGCCACTGGGAAGGTCTCGGGCTGGGCAGGGTCACACACATTCACCATCTGGTTGGCTGTGTACAGGGCCTGGAAGCTGCGCTGGTTGTCTTCCCCAAGGCCCTGCAGCAGGGTTTTGCCCCTTAATCTCCGTCTGGAGCAAGGGGAGTCTCCAGAACTCGGCCCCAGCTGACATCTCAATGGTTCTCAGCAGAGCTCTACCCTACCTCCAACCCTTTGCTCCTTCTGGTTCCCCCTGCTTAGTACTGTCTTCCTCCTCCCCTTTACAGAGGGAAATCCTTTCAATACTCAAGCAGGCAGAAATACACTCCCTCTTCTGGATTCCCAGACTCCCAACTCTCCAACCCAAGATACAACCCGCCCCCTGGGGACGGGGGACGGGCGCTGGGAAGGGCTCTAGAGCGAGCGGGTGGGGAAGGGGTGTCGATTACCTTGGCTATGCCCAGCAGCAGCTCCAGATCCACCAGGAGTCTGTGGACATCCCGGCAGAACACAGCCAGCTCAGCCCGGCTCACTTGGAACATCTTCTCTGGGTCAGGGGCTGCGATCATGGTCCCCTTCCCGGCCCCCAGGAGCCCATTGCAGGCTACTTCCACATAGATGGTCAGGCTACAAATGTGGGGAGGCAGCCTCAGGCCAACGGATTGGCAGGGGGGGCTTGGGGAGGGAGGACCAAGGAGGCATCCACTGACCCGTCCCTGTTCGCCTGCGGGGTCCACCCCCCAGAAGATCCCACAGTATGTCAGGGTCTGTGCAAGAGGGTCCTGTTCTGCTGATGAGCGTTCTGCCTCAGGCAGGGGCAATAAGTAGCCAAGCTGGGAACCGTGTGAATTATGCTGCTGCCCAGCCTTTTATTTCCATTTCCACAACTGTCTTTACGAAGCACTGCCTTGAAAAAAAAAAACAAAAAAAAAACGAAGCACTGCCTTGGTCTCAGAACCCTCTTCGCATACAAAAAACGTGTTTGGATCCCCCAGGTCCAGTCTTTCAGGAGAGCAAAGATCCAGCAGCCAGCACAGGGCAGGCCATTCTCTGGAGCCGCATGGTAGCCTGTGTTGTTGTTCTATTCAGTCTTCGGAGAGCAAACGGGACTTCCTGGGAGAAGCCTTCCCTGACCCTCCTGCCACCCCTCTCCTAAGTCGGGGACAGCTGCCCATACTGAGCTCCTGGTGTCTGCTTTCATAGTCCTCATCAGTTTTGTAATCATATAAGTTCTGTGAGTCCCCCTTGCTGTCAAGGACCACATTACTCACTACCACAGTGCTAGTATCTGGAAGCACCAGCTACAGTGTTAATATTAGAAATACAATAATACTATGTCTGAGTTCTGAATGGTGTCATAAAATGCCCATAATATGGGACGAAAAAATCAGGTGCAAATTATCAAAGAAATACAACCTTAACTAGTAAGAACTACACCTGAGTGAGTTCCTGAGGTGAGTGCTGAAATGTTAATGCTCACCTCTAGGTAGTGGGATAATGGGAGTCATTTACTTCTTTGTGCTTTCTTGTATTTACCACAAGAAGGGAGACAGTATCTTTCTAGTCGGGGGGGGGGGGGAACCCCTACTCTTTAAAAACAAACTGTGAGATTTGAGGATGCCTGTGTTGGAGGTGGGCGTTTTGGGTCACTCTGGGCCTCAGCTCCTCCTCACCCACTGGGGCCCCTGCCCCCCAGCATGGTTAACCAGGGCACGGGGACTCCCTCACCTCCGGGGGTCTCCTTCCTCCAGCCTGTCAGTCAGGACGTAGCTGGTCTTCTCCCCCTCTGTGGTCAAACCCTGGTGGGGAGTGGAATGAAAGAGATAGGGCCTGAGGCTTTTGGACAGTTCAGGTGAAATATATAAGCCGAGGGAGGCCAGGTCTCTCCACCTAGTCCCCAGCCTGGCTCCTCTCTCCTACTCAAGGCCAAGATTGGCAAATCAGGGACCCCTGGTAGTCCGTTCCCAAACCCCACGGCAGCCCAAGTGCCAGGATCACCAAATGGCACCTGTTTGCCAGCTTTCACAAAAGCCCCTGATCTTATGGGAAGGGTCTTGGCAGGTACCATGAAGCGTGGGTTTGGCTTCTGGTGGCCCCTGTATCACTGAGTAAGTATCTGAAGGGGAACTCTATGTAAAGTCAGATGCAGGGCTGCCTCATTCCTTGCTATATCCCAAGCGCTTAGCATGGGGCCTGGCCCAGAGAGGGCACTCAGGAGACCTCTGCTGAGCCAATAAAAGGAAAGAGGGGAGGGGGAGGGGTTTACCATCTTTCCATACCAAAAGAACAACAGTCCTACCCTGAGATGGGAAGTTAGTCTAACTGGAATGGAAGCTGAGCAAATGAACTGACCTCTGTATATTTTAGTTTCTTTATCTGTAAATGGGCATAAAGACCCACCACATATGATTATAAAGATTAAACCTGATATGGGTGGATTCATAAACAAGACACTTAATTGTTGGTATATCTGGGAAACTGGGGATGCTGTGATAGGGAGAGATCCATTACTTCAGGGCAAGAGGACTTGAATTTTTACTTTATACCATACAGAACTGTTTCAAAGTTTTCCCCCATAAGTATATGCTATATATAATAAAAACTGGTCTATTAAAAACTAAAAATAGGGGCGCCTGGGTGGTTCAGTCAGTTAAGCGTCCAACTCTTGATTTCAGCTCAGGTCATGATCTCAGGATTGTGAGACTGAGCCCCATGTTGGGCTCCACACTCAGTGCTTATTCTGCTTGAGATTCTTTCTCTCCCTCTCCCCCTCGCCCCTCTAAAAAAACAAAACAACAACAACAAAAACCAACTAAAAAATGATATGGTCTGCAAAGCCACTAGTCTGGCACCTGGTACCTAGTAGAGGGTTAATAAATGGATCTGCTGTGTCTATTATTATTGTACTCGGTTAGCAACTATTTTCAGGCCAGAATGAGAAAGTGGCCAGTCAGTGGCAGGGTTGGTTTAGCACTATGATTATGTTAAGACCCATAAGCCATCCATTCAACCTTCCAATATGAGAGGGACCTATCACACGAGGGCCCAAGTGGCAACTTCCCCAGTCCTGAAATTCTGATACCCTGCAGGAAGAGCCACTAAGCTGTGCCTTCTTCACAGACCTGGGTTGAAAGGGGGCCAAACCCATCCCTAGGGCTACTCACCTGGACCGGTTCTCCATCTCGCCACACCAGGCCTTCTCCATCACTTTCCCAGCGAAGGTGAACTTCCTGACCCACCCATGCCTCCGGGATGGTCAGCTCTACCCGAAACCAGCAGGTCCACCACCTGCAAGACAGCCAATGGGATGGGCCTAGGGGTCGAAGCCCTTTTCCTTTTGCCTTGGATTAAGGGTCAGCGGGGACTTGAGACTTTCTCCAAGCATCCACAGCATCACAAGGTATTCATCTTGGATCCACAAGAAAGGAGCAACAACGTGTGCAGCAAGGTGAGGGGAAAAGGCAAACAAGTCAGGGGTCTGTGATCCGTCCTAGAGTGTCTTCCTGAGGGGTGTCTAGGTGCTGGGAGAAGGCAGGGGCGGGGGGATAAAAACTCTTCCATGAAAATGAGGGACCAGGGAGCTGCTTCCAGCAGAGGGTGCTGCTCTGCCCCGAGTGGCTGTCTAGGACCGGGGACGACAGTGGAGGTGTGGCCCTTCGAGCCAGGGAGCGACGGAGGGGGCTGCCCGCAGGCCCCGCCTTCCCTCCGGGCGTTACCCACGTGGGGCCGAAGCTGTCGCCGATCTGCGCGGGGCGGAACTCCTGCTGCACCGCCTCCTGGTAGGGAAGCCGCTCGGGCGTCTGGAAGCTGGAGAGCGCGGCCACTGGGCAGCTGTCCCCGAAGAGCCTGGGCGGGAGGAGCGGGTAGGCGCGCGCTCGAGGCCGCCCCCGTTCCGCCCGCGGGCCAGTTGGCAATGGGGATGCGCGTTCCCTCGATCCACCGCCGAGAAAGCTGCCCCCCAGCACAGCCTCTCCCCACCCCTCCTCCCAGGCCCCTGCCCTGTCCGCGGCGGGCACTTCGTCCCTCGGCCCGGGTGGCCGCGGCTTGGGTTTCCTTCCGGAAGGGAAGGCTGGCGCGCGCGGACGCGGCGGGCCGGCGCGCTGGGCGAGGGGGCCCCCACCTGCCGCGGAGGTTACAGTCCGTAAAGTAGAGCGGCGACACGAATTTCTCCACCCGCTCCAGCGTAGTGCGCCAGTGCTTCAGGGCCGGCGCCGCCGCCATCGCCGCGCGCCCGCTCCTCTCCCCGGAAGGCCCCTGCCGCTGCCGGTGGGGCCCACAGCCGGGAACCAAAGGTTCCGGCGTCCGAAGGGCGTCTTTCAGTCCCCGGGCAGCTTTTCTTGGAACACTGGCGGCTCTCGGAAGCCCCGCCGCGCTGAACTTTGAGCGGGCAGCTGAGAGCCAAGAATGCGGTTTCCGAGGCTCTCCTCCAGCTCTTCCGAACCGGCGAGCCACTGGGCAAATCCCTAAGTAGAACGGCAAGTTTGACGCTTAGATTCTCCGAAAGTCCCGACACAGAGACCGGGGACTTTAGGCAGGACAGGCGGGAGCCCCAGCTGTTGCAGACGCAGGTCACCCGGGCTCAGAAGCCACAAGCGGGAACCGGCTAGTTCTCCAGGCCCAGCCAGACCTCTGGTGCTATCTCGAAAACCTGCTGAACGTGGGAAGAGCCAGGAGCCAGGACCTGTGCTTTGAAGCTGATCGGCAGACATGTGTTAAATAGGGAGGGCTTTGCACCGCAAGAACCGGAGCCGCCTCTTACATATTTTGTGTGTATAGCTGTCATCACCAGAAACCCTGAGAATATTTTGATGTGATGGCAATCAGTCATAGCATTCAAGATCCCATTTGAATAACATTTCACCACACAGGACTGGAGAGTTCAGAAAAGCCACAATGCCAGAAACACCTCCAATTTCATCTTTACCCTAGTAGTCTTGGCAGTTTCTTTTTCCCCCTTCTAGGATTGCCAAGCAGTGTTTGTCTATAAAGTCATTACTAAGAATAAAGTATATACACATTAGCCCTGGTATTTTAATGAAAATACTGACCAAGTTCACATTTCAAGTGCAAATCACAGGGAAAGATGACTGAGTACAGAATACCAAACGTGATTTAAACTAAAGATAACTCGCTGCTATAACACGTTGGGCTGAGTTGGGAGTTCAGTTTTCAGAAGGCCGGAGGCATCAAGATGGTGCTTGTGAAAACCTTGGCTGTAGGTGAAGCTCCCTCTTCTTTTGGTTGCCCTGATGGGTTGCATTTTCTCCTGAACTTGGCCCTGAAACCAGATCCTGACCTGCAGGCAGGTAGGTCTGGACGTAACAGTGCAAGAACAGCTAACAGCTGGGGCTGCCCCTGGTCAGACCCCATCAATTTCTCCCATAATTCCAAGTCAACATGACCTTTCTTGAGTGAGCAGAGGGCGATAGGTGAGCTATTGCTGGGAAAACCCGAAGATCTTTCCCCTCAATCAATATGTATCACTGTACCTCCAAGTCAGGCACTGGCGCCTTCACCCTACAATCTCCTCCCACAAGGCTCTTTTACCACCCCCTACACTTTGGGGCTCAGTCTCTCCTTTTCCCCTGCAACAAAAAGGTCTAAAACTGGAGAAGTCTATACCATGTGTTTTTAAAGTTCAGAAGCCGCCAAATTTGTAGTCTTTGGTGGCAGTGTTGGGGGTTTTTAGGCGAACAAAACCACACAAAACACTGTTGGTTACTTTACAACTGAGACTAGGGCAATGGTTGATGGAGAATAAATCTACCAGAGTACTGGGAGAGGTTGTTGGTCTTTGTTCAGAAACTCCAGGGTGAAGACATATAAAACTCCTAATCACTCAGTTTAAATGTCTGGTCTGCCGGTCTAAATTTATGTAATTAAAAAATATATATATTCCACTTGCAGTTGCTAATAATGTAGCAAATCTTCTCTCTCCCAACCCCATTTATACTACACACCTTGTACACATTTCTTTCAAATACTGGTTTGGTATTTAAGTTGTTCACCCCCATTTCCAATTAAGGATAAGAAAAACAACACAGAGAAATGCAAACCAAATAGCCGGACAACTACCCAAATAGAAAATATTTCCAAACAGTTGAAATAAGGGGAAAAACATGTACTAAAAGAATCAAGTATTCTATTTTAAAAATTTGGAATATTTTGATTTGGGACAAGTGCAATGAACTGGTAACTATTTAAAGCAAATTCCTGTTTGTGCCAAGGGTAAGGAACTGAAGCCCAAATCCCTGCTCCACATTAGTTCTCTGGTGAGGACAAGGGACTTGGGTTGAGAGTTCATTCCTTAAGTAAGAACCAAGCTTTATTTATTTACAAAAAAAAAAGGAAAGAAAGAGAGAGAGAGAGAGAGAGAAAACAAGACAGACAGAAAGGAAGGAAGGAAAAGAAAGAGAAAGAAAGAAAAAGAAAAAAAAAAAGCTGGGGCAAGGGGGAAGACAAGTTTTACACAAAAGTACTACAACAGTAACTCCCTTTGGTAAAAAGTGTAATAAATGTCTTGTACATCTGTTCATAGGTACTAAATCTGAAGCCACATAGAACTATGGTACACAAGAAGCTAGAGCAGTTATGCTAGCACATCAAAGCATATTTCTTTTAATAAAAAATCGACAGTATGTACATTATTTACAAAAAAAAAGAAAAAGAAAAACCAAGTTAAAATTGTGTGCGTGTGTGTCTGTGTGTGTGTGTCAGAGAGTAAAGCTGGTGGATGGCACTAGGGTAGACTAGTAAAGAAGCAGGTACAAAACAGTTCCACGGGAGCTAAAAAGGACGACGGATTTGAACTTGCTGAGGTTGAGAACCAGAGGAGAGTGTAAAGGGTGGGCAGCGAGGGATTTGTCAGGAAAAACCCACAAGATGATCAATCCCAAAGCCAAACTGCAGGTCCCAGATAAAATCTAATGGGTGATCTAGATGTGCTCGAGTGACCAGGAGGGGGGAAAAAAAAATCAAATCCAGTTTTTTTTTTCCTTTTGGGGGGAGAGGAGAGGAGCAGTGACCATCAGAGTTACAATCCATCTGAGCGGTGAGTCCTTCCCCAGTCTGTCAGTGCACGCCCATCCAGTCAAGGTGTGAACAGCATCTGGCTCCTTCATCGAAGGTCAGGCCCCAAGAGACTCCAGTCTTGGCTCTGCTGGTGTGTGCAAGCAAGCTGCATGTCTCTGTGCTTGCATGGATTTCCTTCCCCTCCAGGGCAGGCTAAGACCCCAAACCCCTTGGGAAAAGTTCCAGCTCTGGCTTTGTAAGGTATCCATGTTCCTTATATGTAGCCCACTTGGTGCCAGGTTGCACCAGCCACACACTGATCAGGTGGCCATGTCCCAGAGAGGCCCAGTGAGGCTTGAAAGGCATCTTCCTTGTTTCTTCAGTGTGCGTGAGTGCACGCGCTCCCCACACACACCCCCCTCAAGTTATCTGCTCTGGCTTTGCAGTTACGGGGCTTTGAACACTGTGCCATATTTGACACGGTACTTGTTAATGCTCACAAAGTGCAGGGTCTCTGTGTCACAGGTGGTGGTACAGGGCACCAGGCCCTCCAGCCCCTCACCCATGAGCCACTTGCTGGTCTCTGCTGCCATTTCACGGGGCACATGCTCCTTGGTCCATTTATCTACCCAGGCCTGGAACCTCTGATGTAGCCGCTTGCTTACACGTTCATGGGACTGCAAAACAGAGCAAGAAAAAAAAAAACCAACAATGAACAAAACAAACAAACAAACAAAAAAACACCTCTTCAAATACAAAGCCTAATTTTCTCCTAAAGTAGCAGAGGAAAGGATGTGGGGTCAAGCCTTTGATACTATCGGTTAGTTAGGAGTCTCTGTTTAAAGAAGAAAACTGAAAGAGACTAAAAACACAGAGCATGTAAAGAGCTGGAACCCGTAAAGCCCCTTCAGAAATGCCAACATGGGGTCTGAGCAGAACGAGCTTAGTAGTTCTCATTTTTAGCATTCATTAGTTATCAACTAGGGAATCTGATAAAAATACAGATTTCCTCGTTTTCCTCAATCTGCATTTTTAAACTAGCAGCCCAGCTGCTTCTAATGTACCCGAATGAGACACAATGAGTTGCAGCTATTAGGTCATTCTGTCAGCGTGGAAATCCACTCCTACTAAGAGCAAGGCAAAGGGCTTAAAACCCACCTTCCCTTCAGGGTATTACCCGACCTTGCCTAGCAGGGCATGGGACACGGCAGACCTTCAGGGGAGGTTTATGTTCCTACCTACCCATCCAGTAAATGTTTATCAGTGCCTATGTGTGAGGCAGAGTAGGCGATGCAAAGATGAATTAGGTATTACCCAGGTCCTCAAATAATGTGCATCAGACATACAACACACAGCATCATGAGAGAAGTCTATCCAACATCTCCTATTTGTATGATCTCTAGTCCTTTCAAACTTCAGCAGTTCAAAGCACAGGCTTGATGTGCCCCCAACCCCCCTTCCTAACAGATTATACCCCTAAACTGCCTATTTACTCAAGCAGAAACAAAAACAAAACAAAACAAGACCAGGCATCATCTTTGATGTTCTACTTTCTCTTACCTACTCACATCCGATCATTTCCACATCCTGACAACTGTTATCTCCAAATTGTACCTTTGATCTAATTCTTACAATTTCACTGCCACCCTCAGTCACATCTCACTTGGACAAGAGCATCTTTTGAGCATTCTCTGCCTTTCCAACTTCATGCCCCAAATCGTCCCCACTGGGATGGACAGCAGTCCAAGCCATCCTGTCAACAATGTCCCCATGTATTGCAAACAAAATCCAAACCACAGTCTATGAGACTAGTGATGATGTCTCTGCCCACCCCTCAACTCCAAGTATGCCACTCTCCCTCTGGCTCAAGCCACACTGATGCTTCTAGTTTCTCAAACATGCTGAGTCCTTTCCTCCCTTCCGGCATTGCATTTGCTGGTTTCCTTCATCTAGAAAGCACCAACCCTCAAGTCCTCACCAGGCTGGATTCTGGTCACTGTTCCAACCTCAAGCGTCACCTCCTAAGGGAGGTCTCCCCCACCACACAAACAGGGCCTGAATGCCAGCTCCCCATGATCACTTCACCTAGTTTCTCTCCTTCCTGATTGTGCCCCAGGGCCTGGTACAATCCTGCTACAAAATTGCCCCAGGAAGCTTTCACAATTGAGACAGCATGTGAGAACAAAGAGAATTCATAAGCAATACCACTTGAAATGCAAAAGCTGGGAGTAGCTTTGCTGAGGTGTCACTGGCTCTTGTGGGTTGAACTGTGTCCCCTGCAAATCACTGTGCTGAAGTCCTCCCCCCAGTACCTCAGAATGTGACCTGACTTAGAAATAAAGTTGTGGCAGATGTAATCAGTTAAGATGCAGTCAGACTGTAGTAGGGTAGACCTAGAGTCCAGTATGACCGGCCCCCTTTAAAAGGGGGACACTGGACACAGGCACACAGGGAAAACGCAATGTGAAGAAGATGAAGGCAGAGACCTGCATGCCAAGGAAGGCCAAAGACTGCCAGCAGAACACCAGGTGCGAGGAGAGGCATGGAAAAGATTCTCCCTCACAGCCCTGCTTCAAACCAACTCTGCCACACTTCAATTTTTGACTTTTAGCCTCCAGAATTGTAGGACAATAAATTTCTGTTGTTTAAGGCACACAGTCTGTGGACCTTTGTTCTGACATCTTTAATAGACTAATACACCTGCTTACTCAACAATTCTCAAATCCAAGAGGTGGTTCTCATAAAGGGAGAGAAACAGTCAGGAACCTCTATAGTAGGCCTGGGTCTGGCAGGGGAGGGAGAAGTATGGAGAAATTCCAGTGACCGGTTTTTACCTGATGAGCCCGGAGCAAGGCAGTTCTCCGATACATGTAGTCCTCTGACTTGATCACATACACCATCTTGTAGGAATTCAACTTGAATCTACACTCCAGTTTATCCAGGCTATCCACATTCTCCATGGTCTTCTTGCTGTTTCCTTCCTTCCCTTCCTTTTCCTGCTGTTCTCGACCACGCTGACATTTCCGGATCCGCCTCAGATTCCTACAAAGCAGAGAAGCCCTGCAGGATCAGAGCTCCTCCAGATGCAGATTCCTATGAGTCCCCTCAAAGGGGTTCTCCTCCTATGCCTTTATAGCAGTTATCACAATTTTAGTTACATATATCTATATATATATCTCCAATGGTTTCATTGTTAAAAAAAAGTTTCAAATGCAGAAATACATAGAATATAAAGTAGAAATCTTTAACCATCTCCTACCCCAGATTCTCTGAATCCCATGTGCCTTGGCAGAGGTAGCCACTGATAGTTTTGATTTTAAACCTTCTAGGCCTCTCTGAATTCACATACGTAATCACTCACTATAGTTCTGCTTTGGGATGCTTTTAAAGACAAAACAGGATCATACTATAAAGATTTTATTATTCTCCACTTTTCACTTAATGTGAAGATTTCTTTCATTTCACCAAAGATTTGTCACATTCTCTTGAATTGCTGCAGAGTAACATGCCTTAATTGAACCATTCCTTAATAGGAATCAATCAGGGCTCCTCACCTGAACCACGGAGCAAAGATGATTATTTGCGTATTTTTTCAATCCCCCCCGCAGAGATGGTACATAACTTCTGTATTCTACCTACACAGTTAAGAAGACAATTCACATCAATGGATGCCCTGGCAGGTATTTAGAGCTGAATTCTCTCCAAAAGCAATTAGAAGAAAGCTTGTCAGCCAGACAATTATATTGTTTCTAATACTTTGCTATGAAAAAACGCTGCTTCAGTGAATATCTTTGTATACATGTATTTCCGAAGGACAGCAGTTCTTTGGTCCAAGGACCCTTGGGGGCCCCCAAGACTCTCTTCAGGAGATCTATGAGATCAAAACTATTTTCATAATAATACTAAAACATAGTAATACTGAAACATATATAGAAAACTTATTTTCCTATGTTAACATTTACACTGGCAGTGCAAAAGTAATGGTGAATAAAAATGCTGGTGGCACCAAACTGTCCTTAGAAATCTTTATATTCTCTGGCCATGCTCTGGCAATTAAAAGAGGAAAGCTGGGGGCACTGTGTAGCTCAGTCAGTTAAGTGTCTGCCTTTGGCTCACATCATGATCCCGGGGTCCTGCGATCGAGCTCAGTGGGGAGGCTGCTTCTCCCTCTGCCTCTCCCCCTGCTCATGCTCTCTCAAATAAATAAATAAAATCTTAAAAAAAAAAAAAATGAGGTAAGCTGGTTTCACTTAAGAATGTCCATGATGGGGACGCCTCGGTGGCGCAGTCAGTTAAGTATCCAACTCTTGGTTTTAGCTCAGGTCGTGATCTCAAGAGCTGTGAGATTGAGCCCTCTGATAGGATCCGTGATCAACGTAGAGTCTAAGTTTCTCTCTCCCTCTCCTTGCTCTCTCTCTCTCTCAAATAAAAAAATCAATCTTTTTTGTTTTTTAAAAGATTTTATTTATTTGCCAGAGAGAGAGAACACAAGCAGGGGGAGTGGCAGGCAGAGGGAGAAGCAGGTCCCCCGCTGAGCAGGGAGCCCAATGCGGGACTCGATCCCAGGAACCTGAGCCGAAGGCAGACGCTTAACTGAGCCACCCAAGCATCCCTAAAAAAATAAAACTTAAAAACAACAACAACAAAAACACACATCCTTGATGAAGCAGTAACGTATTTTTCAAATCCCAGCCCCTTAGGTTCACATCCTTTTAATATGCTATGTGGGAAAATGGGAACTACACATACAGCACCCTAGTGTGCCAAAACACTATGGGATTCTTAAAGGGAAGCACTCGAGCACTGCCTGAGTGGCAAATGGATCACTCTTTTTACCTGAAAGAACAATGCACTAGCCATCCTGGAGTATGTGCTGGCAGCTATTTTCTCAAAAAATGAATAATGGGGCGGCTGGGTGGCTCAGTCATTAACCGTCTGCCTTCGGCTCAGGTCATGATCCCGGGGTCCTGGGATCGAGCCCCATGTCCGGCTCCTTGCTCAGCAGGAAGCCTGCTTCTCCCTCTCCCACTCCTCCCTTCTTGTGTTCCCTCTCCCTGTCAAATAAATAAAGTCTTAAAAAAAAAAAACAATGAAGAGGCGCCTGGGTAGCTCAGTTGGTTGAGTGTCGGACTCTTGGTTTTGGCTCAGGTCATGATATCAGGGTCATGAGATGGAGGCCAGGCCCGGGGCTCCGTGCTCAGTGGGGATCTGCTTGAGATTCTCTTCCTCTCTCTTTGCCCCTCCCCCACTCATACACTCCCCCCCCAAATAAATAAATATTTAAAAAAATGCAACCTGATATAATCCACATAAACAAAAGCTTTTTGGAATATTCAGTCTCTAGGAATATAAGGGATCTCAAAGCCAAAAAGACTGAGAACCTCAGCTATAATAGCTGTAAGGCAAATGATAAGAAACCAAAGCTGTGGGTAAAGTTCCCATACATTTTAATTGCCCTGGCCCCAGAATGATTGTATCAATTTCTATTTTCCCCACAGAATATGAAAGTGCTTTCCTAGCCCACACCCTCTACAACACAGGTTATAAATCTTTCAAAAACTTGGCCAACCTGGTGAGAAATACAGGATACGTTTACAGTACTAGTTCATAAACCTGGAGACGAAGTCTGTTTTGTTGAAGAGAGGCCTGGCACAGAGCAGCTGCTCAAAGTCTGCCAAATGAACCAAGAAATGAGGAGGCTGGCAGGACCCTTCTGCTCATACACCCCCTTTCCATGTTCTGACTAGAACTCAGTCTAATAGTAACAACACACAGATCTTCCTTGACTTAGGGGTTACATCCCGATAAGAAGTTAAAAATATTGTAAGTCAAAAATGCATTTTATAAACCAAACCTACTGAATGAACATCACAGCTTAGCCTAGCCCACTTTAAAGTGCTCAGAACACACTTTAGCCTACAAAGGGGCAAGATCATCTAACACAAAGCCTATTTTGTAATAAAATGTTGCATATGTCATGTAATTTATTGACTACTGTCTGGAAAATGAAAACGAAGTGGCTGTATGGGTACAGAACGGTGCTAAGTGTGTCAGTTCTTGACCCTCGTGCTCATAAGGCTGACCAGGAGTTGGGGCCCCTGCCCAGCATCGCAAGAGGATCATACCACAGATCACTAGCCTGGGAGAAGACCCAATTCCAAATTCAAAATGGTTTTTAGTGAGCGTGTCTCAATTTTGTATCACTGTAAAGTCCAAAAATCATTTAAGTCAAACTATCCTAAGTGGGTGACTATCTTTATTGGGATAATACCTTTCTGGAAATGTTAAGACCTGGGATTTCAATTATGAGCTTCTGGGAAGGAAGAAAGCTACTCTACTACAGCAAAACCTCTTTTCTACTTCTGAAACTCCATTTTCATCCTCAGATAGAGGACCAACAATATACTGCCCATAAATAGGGAGGAAATTTAAAAAATTCTGTGAAGTGAATATAGCAGACCTAAGACTGCTATCTTTTGTGGGTTTTCCCTATTACCTTCAAAAGAGAGCTCTACTTTATTATTTTTTAAAAATGTAATTCTAATATAGTTAACACACAGTGTTGTATTAGCTGCAGATGTACAATATAGTGATTCAACACTTCCATACATCACCCAGTGCTCATCTCAACAAGTGTCCTCCTTAATCCCCATCACCGATGTCACCCACTCCCCCACCCACCTCCTCTGGTGACCACCAGTTTGTTTTCTAGTTAAATGAGTCTGTTTCTTGGTTTGTCTCTCTCTTCCTTCCCCTGTGTGGGAAATAATAAACCAGCTATGGCTGGTTTATTTCTTAAATTCCACATGAGTGAATTCATATGGTATTTGTCTTTCTCTGACTGACTTACTTCACTTAGCTTATACTCTATAATACCCTCTAGCTCCACCCATGTTGTTGCAAATGGCAAGATTTCATTCCTTCTTATGGCTGAATAATATTCCATTGTATATATACACATCTTCTTTATCCATTTATCTATCGATGGACACAGGCTGCTTCCGTATCTTGGCTATTGTAGATAATGCTGCTCTAAAAATAGGGGTGCATGTATCCCTTGGACCTAGTGTTTTTGTATTCTTTGGGTAAATACCCAGTAGAGCAATTCCTGAATCACAGGGCAGTTCTATTTTTAACTTTTTGAGGAACCTCCGTACTGTTTTCCACAGTAGCTGCACCAGTTTGCATTCCCACCAACAGTGCAAGAGGGTGCCTTTTTTTCCACATCCTTGCCAGCATGGTATTTCTTGTATTTTTTGATGTTAGCCATTCTGACAGGTGTAAGGCAATGTCTCATTGTAGTTTTGATTTGCATTTCCCTGATCAGTGATGTTAAGCATCTTTTCATATTACCTGTCAGCAACCTATAGGTCTTCTTTGGAGCAATGTGTGTTCATGTCTACTGCCCGTTTTTGTTTTGTTTTTTTACAAGATTTGAGAGAGAGAGGAAGAGCAAGCAAGCGCACTCATGGGGGGGCGCGGCGCACGAGGGCAGAAGGAGAGAGAAAATCTCCAGCAGACTCCCTGCTGGGTGTAGAGCTAGACGCAGGGCTCGATCTCATGACCCTAGGATCATGACCTAAGCCAAAATAAAGAGTCAGATGCTTTACTGACTGAGCCACCCAGGCGCCCCCTGCCCATTTTTAATTGGATTATTTGTTTTTGGGGGGTGTTGAGTTGTGTAAGTACTTTAGATATTTTGGATACTAACCCTTTATCAAATATGTCATTTGCAAATATCTTCTCCCATTCTGTAGGTTGCCTTTTAGTTTTGATTATTTCCTTTGCTGTGCAGAGCTTTTTATTTTGATGTAGTCCCAAGAGTTTGTTTCCCTTGCCTCAGGAGACTTATCTAGAAAAATGCTGCTATAGGGGAGTCACAGAACTTACTGCTTGAGTTCTCTTCTAGGATTTTTATGGTTTGAGGTCTCATATGTAGGTCTTTTAAAATCCACTTTGAATTTATTTTTGTATATAGTGTAAAAGTGGTCCAGTTTCATTCTTTTGCATGTAGCTGACCAGTTTTCCCAACACCATTTATTGAAGAGACTTTTTCCCATTGGATATTCTTCCCTGCTTAATTAATTGACCACATAATCATGGGTTTTCTATTCTGTTCTATTGATCTACATGTCTGTTTTTGTGCCAGTACCATACTGTTTTGATTACTACAGCTTTGTAATATAACTTCAAATCTGGAGTTGTGATACCTCCAGCTTTTCTTTTTCAACGTTGTTTGGCTATTCGGGGTCTTTTGTGGTTCCATACTAATTTTAGGATTATTTGTTCTAGGTCTGTGAAAAATGCTGGTGGTATTTTGATAGGAATTGCATTAAATGTATAGACTGCATCAGGTAGTGTAGACATTATATTTCTTCTTCGAATCCATGAGTATGGAATGTGTTTCTACTTCTTTGTCTTTTTCAATTTCCATCATCAATGTTCTATAGTTTTCAGAGTATAGGTCTTTCACCTCTTTGGTTACATTTATTCCTAGGTATCTTATTATTTTTGGTAAGATTGCTATCTTTTGAAAGGTCTGCTTTCAAGGTTGTCACTTGGCTGGGTTCTGGAATCCTGGATTTGGGGAGAGTTTCCACCATTCCCTAAGCAATAAAAGTGGCTCACTGTACCTAAACTGTTCACATAAATATGTGGTTTCATCTGAAAACCTGCTTTCTTTCTGGGAGTCTGGAATTTTGTTACATGCTAGGCAGACAGTATCACCCAATAAAAAACGCTGGCACTGAGTCTCCTAATGAGATTCCCTGGTAGACAGTGTTTCAAACATACTGTCATCATTTGTTGCTTGGAGGAATTAAGAGTGTCCCACGTGGCTGCAATAGAAGAGGACTCTTGGAAGCTTGCACCTGGTTTCCTCTTTGTCACAGACGCCTTCTCCCCATATTGATTTAGCTCTGTATTCTTTCACTGTAAATCATCACTGTGAGTATGACTACATGCTAAGCCTTGTGAGTCTTCCTCATGAATCATCAAGGTTTGGAGACTCCGCCACATACTCCTCTCCAACACAGGAAAGTTACCGCTGATTCTCTAAAGCTCTCACTTCTCTCATGCTTTGGGGCACATGCTCCAGGTAAGCTCATGGAAGAACAGCCATAGAAACCTTGAATTAGTGTCCTCAGTGTCCTTGCTGTTCAGCAGACAGAACAACGAACTGAGTAAGCGAAAACCAAGGATCTGAAAGTCATTTAACTTTCTGTTCCTCAACCCTGTGCAAGTATATACTGCCAATTTGTGACTCAGTTCACTCACCTTGGGAGAAATACTGGTTTCCGTGCCAGGTGCTCACGAAGCTCAGGAGAGGTAGTATCAGAATTCATGTATCGTTCCACATAGTCTGACCAACGCTAGGATTATAAACACAAAACAGGGGTGGAGAGAGAGTACAAACACTGGACTCCATCCTCCTCAGGTAGTCTAGCAAATTCAAGGACTAAACTTCAGAAACCCTTAAATTTTAACATCAAAAATATCTTTCCATAATGACATGCTGTTACTTGGTATTGACACACAGCTTTAAATTCCTGTTAGGTAACAAAACCCGAAGCTTGTCCGAGATACTTTAAAAGTTATCAGAGGTCATAAATGGGTAGAGACTGGCTCACTGACAAGTTTTATTTCCCCACAGAGGGTGTTGTTAAAGAAGAAAACATACAGTGGCAAATGTCTGAAAATCAGTATATTTCACATTAAAATCTGGATTTCTGGAATCTCAGAAAATTTTTTTTCAAAGATTTGGCAACCAGGAGCCAGTATTCCCACAGAACAACAACCTCCCTTCCATAGCCCCTCAACATCATACACATGGCTCGCGTCTCTCATTAACATTATCTGCTAGGCCTAGCTCTGATAACCGACTCACTCTATCCACTCTGTGGGGTTGACAACTCCTGGCTTCATCTATCCCAATAAAAAGTAAACATGACACAAAATCAAGATGATACCGGGCAGATGGGACCTCATGTGTTGTTTCTTATACTTTAGAAGAAAAACAGGAACGTTGCCAACCATGAGCTGTCCTGAGAGATGGCTTTACTGACGGCTAAATGAGACTGCCATCAACCCTAAATATCTAGCATTAGGCAGCCCTTCCCTTCTGCGGAACACATGACTGGAATGGCCTGTACTTTAAGCATCAGGTTCTGACCCTTAACACGCCTGAGGCTGTCTTGGCCTTCTAGAAACCGTCACGAGGCAGATTCTCAGGGCAGGGCCGCTCTCTAAGCACACAGTTTCTGCAATATGCTTGTCCGTACCTCTGCTTCTACAGGGTCATCGGAGTTCTCCTCTTCCGTGTCCAGGAGCTCAATGGTCAGCTGAACCTGGCCCTGGCTCTGAATAAACATAAGCTGCAAATAAGAAACCAGGATGTAAACAAAAGACCATCTCTTCCAAACCTATAACCTAGCTACTCAAGGGTTGGGAGGTAGGGAGGCAATAAAGTTATAAAACTTCACTCTAATTGAAGAGATGAGGCAGGTACTCCAAAGTTTAGGAGACAGGTGATAAAAAAGGCAAAAGTCCAATCTTGCTACCAGCACAATGAAAGGTTAGAGCAAAAAGTACCATTTCATGTTTCGTACCTCTTGTATTAGCTGAAGCAATAATCAATGGAAGAGTGTTTTAAACTTATTTTGTTCATTGGTAAGAAATATAGCATAAAGCCAGAACCAGAAAATGTCAATGCCATTTTACCCGATAATCCCATTTTTGGAACTTAATACAAAAACAAGCATTAAAGAAAAAAGAGAAGAAAAGGAAATAAAGAAGGAAAAGGAAAAGGAACTTCTTATACTAAAGTGAAGCAGAAAACATCGAACCCAACAGAGAGCAGCAATCAATTCTACCGCCATAAAGATGACCACCCAAGGGGGCACCTGGCTGGCTCAGTTGTAGAGCATGTGATAGTCGATCTCTGGATTGCAAGTTTCAACCCCATATTAGGTGTAGAGATTACTTAAAAATAAAATCTTAAAATAAAAAGACTACCCAAGCCATCATACACACTGTGATGTAAGGAATACAAAGCATCAACGTATTAACAAAGTGATCTGCTGTAATGGTATCAATCATATTTGAAGTTCTCAAAATTTTGATTTCTAACATTTATGATTTTTTAAAAAATTCCTATTTAAAAGCAATACACTGGGGGCGCCTGGGTGCCTCAGTTGGTTAAGCGACTGCCTTCGGCTCAGGTCATGATCCCAGGGTCCTGGGATCGAGCCCCGCATAGGGGCTCCCTGCTAGGCGGGAAGCCTGCCTCTCCCTCTCCCACTCCCCCTGCTTGTGTTCCCTCTCTCTCTCTCTGTCAATTAAATAAAATCTTAAAAAAAAATAAAAGCAATACACTGATTAGAGCCAAAAAACAAGTCATGCTTTGCATAAAAAACTATCAAATGGTGGTGGCACATGGGACCTCCCCTGTCAGAATCCCAAGATTTTCAATGTCCTTATCCTAATGGCTTACTGCAGGTAAGATTACTGTCCAAATCACATGGAGAAGATCATTTTACAAGGAAGCATCTATTTCAACCTTCTTCATTTTACACAGGGAAAAACCTAAAAATGAGAGTTGTCACTTCTCAAGTCCACTGATTCAGTAAGTAAACAGGACCAGAAGCCAGTTCTGGTTCCAAGTGTTCTTTCAGAGAAGCTTTAAAAATTCCTACCTGCTAGTAAAATTTAAAACATGACAAGAACATAATATATGCAACATAAATACAAACACAGTTACTTCCAAAATAGATTTTAAAAAACTGTCCCTAGGAGTTTGCTCCTTCCCACCTGATCTAGGATGACCTAGAGTGTCAAGATTTATCCTACTGCTTAAGGAAATCAGTCTTTAAAGTGATACTGAGGAGACTGTCTCCTTTCTACTTAAAACTGAATTTAATCTCACCTCCAACAGGTTCCTCCACCTGTCACCTGTCTTGTTAGGCCCTTAACCATGTGTTTACCCTGGTTCTCGCAACTGGGCAACCACTCCCCAAGTCTTGACTAGTCTCTATTTGACTGCCCACATCCATCACCCAAATGGTAACTGCCTCCAGTTGTAAACACACCTCTGGTTCCTCTGCTCCTCCTTACTCAGTGCTACCAAACTGATCCTCAAAGCTCAAATCCAGTGGGATAGTCCTTAAAAATGCTTCACCACTCACCAACCACAGGAAAATTCAAACCTTTTACTTAGTATGGCTGAGGATCCTCTAGTATTTGGACCCTCTTTCTACACATCTCCTTCACCAATATCCTATACTTCATTCATTCAACACATGGTCACTGAATGTCTATCATTTATCAGGTACCTTTAGAAGATAGCACAGTTTCTAGTTTGGAGGAGCCCAATTTAGTAAAGGAAACAGGAATAAAAACAGCTATATTTACATTACAACTAAGGTAACTACCAAGGTACATTCTAGAGACATGGGCAGTATACTATGGGAATAAACAATTGCTCCTCGGCGAGCTGAGAATGATTTCATGTCACTGAAGTGACACTCAGGTGGCCACTGAAGGATATAGGGGAAGTCCAATCAATTTCAGAGAACTACACCAGAGAAAACCCTATTTTTAAAAGTACATAAAAAGAACTATATATCCCTCCCAAACACAGGGTGAAAGATATGAACAAGCAATACACAGAAAAGGAAACAGAAATGGGCAATGATAGAGAACGGGGAAATATGAATCAGAATAATGTAATTTTCTAGCCACCCAAATGGCCAAAATAAAGAAGTTTGATTACTACCCAGTGTTAACTAAGGATGGAGAAATAAATGCTCTTATAGAAGTGCACCCTAGGGGAACCTGGGTGGCTCAGTCAGTTGAGTATCGGATTTTGGATTTTGCTCAGGGTCATGATCTCAGGGTCGTGAGATTAAGCCCTGCACTGGGCTCAGGCTGGGCATGGAGCCTGCTTAAGAATCCCTCTCTCCCTCTGCCCTTGCCCCTGCTCACGTGCTCTCTCAAAAAAATAAAAAAATAAATTCTTAAAAGAAAAAGAGTACTCTAGTATATACAGCCTGTGGCTGTAGAGAGTGAAATGGCATTCTCCACTAAAATATAACATTCAGGGACATTTGGCTGGCTCAGTTGGTGGAGCATGTGACTTGTGATCTAAGGGTCCTGAGTTCATGCCCCATGTTGGGTGTGGAGCCTACTTAAAACAAAATTTAAAAGTATATATATATATATATTTATTTAAAATGTATAATATACACATCCTTTGACCCTGTGATTTCATTTCTTGGTCTCCACTTCAAATTCTAACATATGTGCACTAGGATACAAGCACTAGGATGTAGCACTATTTGAGGAAGTAAAAAATGGAAATTGTTTAAATGTTCACCGCGAAGAGAATTTTTTTTTTTTTTTTTAAGATTCTATTTATTTGAGAGACAGAAAAAGGGTGAGCGGGGGGAGGGGCAGAGGGAGAGAATCTCAAGCAGACTCCACACTGAGTGTGCGCCAGACATGGGACTCAATCTCAAGACCCCAAGATCATGACCTGAGCGGAAATCAAGAGTCAAATGCTTAGAGTGTCCTGAGCCACCCGGGTGTCCCAGGAATGATTTTCTGAAAATTATTTTTTAAAGTTTTTTTTTTTTTTTTTTTGACACAGAGAGGGAACACAAGCAGGGAGAATGGGAGAGGGAGAAGCAGGCTTCCCAATGGGCAAGGAGCCTGATGCGGGGCTCGATCCCGATCATGACCTGAGCCAAAGGCAGGCTTAACGACAACGACTGAGCCACCCAGGCACCGCCCCCCTTTTTTTCAAGATTTTTTCCCCCCAGGAATGATTTTTTTTTTTTAAACTATGGTACATTTTTACTCTTAAGTATGACAAAGCAGTTGAAAAAATGAGCTGGATCTCTATAAATCAAAACAGAGAAATTCTAAGCCATACTAAGTGAAAAAAAACCATGATGCAGAATGTGCAGCCTAATGTCATTTATTTCCATGTATACACACGTATGTATGTAAAGGCACAGAAGAGGGTCTGAATGGATACATAGAGAGCTAAACGTGGCTGAGCTTTTAGTTTTTATTTTTAGATTTTATTTATTTGAGAGAATGAGAGAGAGAGAGAGAGAGAGCACATGAGAGACGGGAGGGTCTGAGGGAGAAGCATACTCCCTGCCAAGCAGGGAGCCTGATGCGGGACTCGATCCCAGGACTCCAGGATCATGACCTGAGCTGAAGGCAGTCGCTTAACCAACTGAGCCACCCAGGCGCCCAACGTGGCTGAGTTTTTAAAAAGCAGTGTACGATGTACACAGAAACAAAATGGACAGGAGGCTGGGGCTCAGGGGTGGGCAGGGGATCTGAAGGGCTGCTTATGCTTAATGTTAATAGTATCAAATTTTGTTCTCCATATGAACATTTTAAAGGATCACTGATATAATTTTTTTGGTTACTAAGCCTTTGTTTCTGCTATTCCGTCTGCCACTCTGAAAACTATTCTTATCCATAGGGTAAGTCTACCCATTCCTTCATAGGCCTTCACCACACAATGTAATCCATTGTTAAGTCATTGTGGGTGGGGATGGTAATTCCACTCACCACAAAAAAACACACAGTAAACTTCTAATAAACATTTATAGGTTTAAAACCCTGAAGAAAAAAAACAACAGTCCCGCAAAGAGTACAGGTGATGGATTAGAAACTAAAGAAATAGCTGAAAGTAGAAGCAGACAACTAAGTGGACGATTTGGGGTCAGATCATTAAGTACATGGAACAGATCTAACAAGGATATGTTAGCTCTCTCTGCTTGGCCAACTACAAACCTTATTCTGGGCCACAGGAACCTGCCCTTCTTATGTAAATACATACAAGTTTTGTTCATTACACAGCTGTAATCATAGTACACATAGCTTTGTATCCTTTTGATTCAGTATTTTTATAATTTATGATTCACTATTACAGGCTCCAAAATATGCCACCTGGAATTCACACAATAGGCTGCTATTAACCATTCCCACGGTGGACTGGACATCTAGGTTGTTCCCAACTACTTGCTTTATTAACTAGCAACAACAGTGGAGTAACGGTGGAAAATGGAAAACACCTAAATGACAAGACAGTCATAATTCTCTATAAAATATCAGTCATGAAAAGATGAAGACCTACATATTGCTAATTGAGCAAAATAAGTTACAGACCATTTTGCCCAGTATACCCTCTTTCAAATCCTATAAAAGCACAGAAAAGTCTAGAAATGTCATCAGTAATTATTTCTGGGAAGCACTACAGGTGACAATTTTTCCTTTTCTCTGCATTTCCTATCTTTTCTACAACAATCATGGATTATGTGTATTAGCATGCTTATTTAAGTTTATTTTTTTTAGTGATGGGTCTTGAACTCATGACCCCAAGATCAAGAGTTATATGCTCTTCCAAATACGCCAGCCAGGTGCCCCTCTGTATTAACATTTTTAAATAAAGCATTATAATATTTACAAAGCATTATACTATGAAAAAACAACCAGAGAGAAAAAGGCAGAATACAAATTTATAAAAATCATATTTGGCAACTTTTTTAAAAGGCAAGAAAGTAACGGACCATCCATGGGAGACGGTCTTTTACTTCTACTTTTCCATGTTTTTTATTCCCTCCAGTGAGCTCATAGGAACTCTAAGGAGTTCCAGGAGTGGAATCACTGGATCAAAGTATCCTGGTATGGCTTTGATTTCTGATGGACATAGTTCCAACAACTTATACTGTCACCAGCATGGTCCTTGACTACATGAGTAACTCTCACCTTAAAGCAATTCTCATCTGACATGAGTTGCTCAGCCTTCCGTTGATATGTTGACTCCAGGAGACTCCTGGAAGTCTGCGTGTTCAACTGGCCTCCTGTGGCCCCATTATTGTTTTCTGCCAGGTAAAGGTCAGTCACCTGCACACAGATTTCATCACTCACGATGTGCTGCAGCTGGAATTAAGCAAAGGCAAGTCATCAGTGAACCAAGAAAATATTTCTCCCTTTCATACAGTCAACCTTCCTTTGATAGTTCCAGTGACTCAGCTCAAAAAGTTTTTTGGGTTGGTTACTTTAGAAAATTAATCACACAAAACCAGTATTTCACATTCTTAGAGAATAAGCCCAAATCTTCAACAGTTCACTGGTCCATGAGTATAGCTTTCCTATTTATTTAAAAGCAAAACTAGGGTGCCTGGGTAGCTCAGTCAGTTAAGCGTCTGTCTCAGGCGATGATCTCAGGATCCTAGGATCAAGCCCCACATGGGGCTCCCTGCTCAGTGGGGAGCCTGCTTTTCCCTCTCCCTCTGCAGCTCCCCCTGCTTGTGCTCTGTCAAATAAACAAAATCTTAAACAAACAAAAGCTTAGGCAGCTCATGTTAATGTGCTGCTTAAAGTTCTAAGGAACCGTAAAAAAATTTTATATGAAAGAAATTTTTCATGGCTTCCTGTTTTTATGGTGCTTCTTTACCGTTTATAACTTGCTTTCATACTCCTCATTTGATCTACACAATTACCCCGGGCAGGAGGCTGAAGAGGGGGTGCCCTGTTACACAGGAGACAAATTTCCATTTTAGGTAAGAACACTCACTATGTGCCAAGGTGAGGACAGGGGCTGTGGAGAACCATGAAAGCTAGATCCCTGTCTATATTCCCAACCTGGGTACAAAGTTGAAACTCACTTAGTATTCCAGATTTGGTTGCTGAATCACTTACCCAGGGGTTCCTAGCTGAAGGAATAGAGTTAGGACTAATATTCAAGCTTCCTGACCCCTAGGCGGATATTCTTTCTAATACATTACTTATTTTTCTACATCAGATAAAAAATATAGTACTTAAATTGTAAATGTTAATTGACTCAATTTCAACACAGGTCAGTCACTATTGACTGTTGGTAATTATTGAGACTATGTTCTTTTTTTAAGATTTTATTTGTCAGAGAGAGAGAGAGCACAAGCAGGGGGAGTGGTAGGCAGAGGGAGAAGCAGGTTTCCTGCTGAACAAGGAACCCGATATGGGACTCGATCCCAGGACCTTGGAATCACGACCTGAGCCGAAGGCAGACGGTTAACCGACTGAGTCACCCAGGCATCCCACGCTTAAACTATCTGATGACTGGAAAGTTGAACCTTTTAGAGTTTCCATTCTCATAGTCATGACTATATTTCTATGGAGGAATAAAAATTCCCTCAAATGAAACTTTACTCATAAAAATTGCAAGAGAATGTGAAAAACATATACAAGAAAAAAGCAAAATGTTAACTGCAATATCAATTTGTCTGTTTTACTTTAAAATTCTCAAAAACCACTAAGCCATTCTATTTTTAGGAAGATACATCCTTTTTGAAGTGCTAGTAACTATGACAACTACTTATTTTTAACGTAAAGTCTTAAATGACAAGTATGTGTATTTGTAGATAAATGGACACAGTGCAAGGTCAGAAGGGTGACTGATCTGTCAGCGGTAGAAAGGCCAGCAACTGGAGATGGTTAAATTATAATTAGTCCAGACAATGGGTTCTAATGTGGCCATTAAAATAATGCCTATGATAACCTGGTAACATAGGGAGAAGCTTAAGATACAGTGTTCGGGGGGGGGAAGACTGTAAAAAAAGTGTATCTAAAGCATGGTCTCTATCACGTGGACACTTCTGGTTAAGACAGTCTTGATGAAACAGAACCTGTCACTGACTCCCCATCCACACCCTCTTCTTGGATATCTGGTCCCTCCTAGAGTCTTTGAAAAGGTCAGCCCTATAAAATCAGGGACAACTTGGGGCGCCTGGGTGGCTCAGTTGGTTAAGTGGCTGCCTTCGGCTGAGGTCATGATCCCAGGGTCCTGGGACCAAGCCCCGCGTCGGGCTTCCTGCTCAGCATGGAGCCTGCTTCTCCCTCTCCCTCTGCCTGCCTCTCTGCCTACTTGTGCTCTCTGTCAAATAAATAAATAAAATCTTTAAAAAAAAAAAAAGTCAGGGACAACTGGACAGCTTGCGCTCCCAAGCTAGGCTGCTCAGATTCTCTCTCCTGATAATTTAAAATGACACAATGAATGTGTTTGGTAGACAGACGAGCATCTAGATGGAAAGGTCAAGCAATGCTGGGGCCAGAGGCACTGCCATGGCAAGCCAAAGTCCCAGGGGGCTGGAGAAGCCTTGAGTACGTGGCCAAATATCCATCTGCAGAGAGAAGCATGAGAATGAAGCAGATTTCCAGAAAGAAGGCATGCAGGAGAGAGAAAAAAAAAAAAAACAAACTTCCCAGTTCAATCCCTACACTGGCCATTTTCTGAGTTCTATACTAGATATCTGTGAGACCGCCTATTGTGTTAAGACAAATCCCTATTAAATTACATCTGATCCTTGAATAATGTGAGGGGTAGGGGCAATAACCCTCCACAAAGCCGAAAATCTGCATATAACTTTCGACTCCCCCAAAACCTAACTAGTCATAGTCTACTAGTGACTGATAAGCCTTACTGATAACATAAAGTCAATGAACAAATATTTTGTATTATGTATTATATACCGTATTTTTATAATAAAGCTAAAAAATATTAAGAAAATCATAAGGAAGAGAAAATGCATTTACAGTGCTATGCTGTATTTATTGTAAAGAATCCATGTGTAAGTGGACCAGCACAGTTCAAAGCCCTGTTGTTCAAGCATCAACTGTACTCTGGAAAAGGTAAATGTATGGCTTGACCTTGAAATATATGTTCTACCTCCAGTCAGCAATGAACTCTGGGAGAACATCAAACAGGATGAGGAGAATGAGAGAAGATATGCCTCCAATTGAGGAGTAAGATGAGAAGCATGAACATAGGTTTTAAAAACACTGGATTTGGGGGCGCCTGGGTGGCTCAGTCGGTTAAGCATCTGACTCTTGATTTTGGCTCAGGTTGTGATTGCACAGTTGAGGGACTGAGCCCCACGTTAGGCTCTGCACTCTGTGCTCAGTATGGAGTCAGCTTGAGATTCTCTCCCTCTGCCTCTCGTGTGTGTGTGTGTGTGTGTGTGTGTGTGTGTGTGTGCGCGCGCGCGCACATGTGTCTCAAATGTAATCTTAAAAAAAAAAATCCCACTGTATTTGGGTTTCTGGACAAAACCTGTTTCTTAAAAAGATTTGACATTATGTATTACTGACTCAAAATCATAACCAGGTGCTTCTAATAAGTGGACAATTACATGTATTGTTTCAAAAACCAACCTCGGGTTTATAAAAGTTAATTCTACTGGATGTTTAAAGGTGCTGGGCTGGCAGTGTGTAAGACTTTACTTCTAGCTGTAGCAGCAGCACACTCGGAAGCAGAAGCAAATGATAACTGGAGTTTCTAGTTTACATATATTTAGATTTTACATATATTTATATTTATGTTTGTACCCATATAATGATTTCAGTTAGGAAGGCCTCTTAACTTCGATTTCCAGGAAAAAACTGAATACCTGACAACCTTCATGAAGATGCCAAGATTCAGTTACGTGAAGTGTTCTTCCTTGACTCTGAGGAGATCCTGTAAAAGGGCGCAGAGCCATGCGTCCTTCCAAAATCAAGGCAAAAGCCTGGGTACTTCGCAAAGAATTCCATATTTTGCTCCAAGAAAACACTGAGCAACAAGCTTTTATTCCCCATAGTGGCAGTGAGGACTCTAGAATTTTCTTTGTCAAGTTTTCACTTTATTATTTTTTTAAAGGTTTTTATTTATTTGAGAGAGAGAGAGAGCATGAGAGAGGGGAGCGTCAGAGGGAGAAGCAGACTCCCCTCGAGGAGCAGGAAGCCCGATGTGGGACTCGATCCCAGGACTCCAGGATCATGACCTGAGCTGAAGGCAGTTGCCTAACCAACTGAGCCACCCAGCTGCCCCAAGTTTTCACTTTAAAGAAAGTGACGCACCAACAAGACATTCTGATCCCTTCAGAAATTCAGAACTCAAGGCAAAAGTGGAAACCTATTTGCTATAAATTATCATTGCTGTAAAGAACATACTTACCAACTCCTAGAGTGCCAGAGGAACAAATCACAAACCAACCACAAATCTAAGTCAAGCGGAACCTCAGATAGGGAGGTAGGGATAGTATTATAGAAGATGTTGTATGAAACCATTCTCACAAAAAGAACTTCAAATATTAAATGAGGAAAATACACAGAATCACCAACACCTACATAAGTGAAAGCGTTACCCACTGAAAGCTCCCCACTGGGCGATTAGGTAAGAGCGGGGCCAGTACCAATGCTCGCTCTATAGGTAGGCAGCGAGAAAGGGGCAAGACACTGGGTCAGCGGGAGGCTCACTCAACTGTGAGGGCATACTGAGCAGAGCAAAGGAGTCCATTTAGCGGCTAAAGTACTCCCACTCTGTTAACATGAGAGATGTGACATCACCTTAACCTCCCCCCTTTCCTCTAGAGAGCCATACATCCATAAACATCGTTCTATAAGCAAACTGCCCTTTTTTTTTTTTTTAAAGATTTTATTTATTTATTTGAGAGAGAGAGAATGAGAGATAGAGAGCACGAGAGGGAAGAGGGTCAGAGGGAGAAGCAGACTCCCCGCTGCGCAGGGAGCCCGATGTGGGACTCGATCCCGGGACTCCAGGATCATGACCTGAGCTGAAGGCAGTCGCTTAACCAACTGAGCCACCCAGGCGCCCCAAACTGCCCTTTTTTCTCCAACAGACATCTCGCCTTTTCTCTTTGCCTCATCCATCTTTAGGTAAGGACTTCTTCCCTCACCAAACTTAGCCTCCACCGTGCCCTCACCTGTCTGACAATGCTCTGGATTAGCTTGTCCATGGTGAAGGCAATGTAGGCGTGAATGGTGAACATCTCTCTTAGTGAATCTTCATACTGCGACGAGTCTATGTTGCCATCCAGCAGGCTCCGCACCATGTCCAGGAAAGCTGGGTAATAATCTTCTACGTCAACATCCACTGTGGGAGAGATGGGAGAGGTGAGGCCTTACCCTGCTACGAAAAGGTCAGGAGAGAGGGCAGGGCGAAACGCCGCAGCTTGCCTAAAGAGCCTCTGATGAAAGAAGCCTAGGTATTCAAACATACGCACTTAATCAGCCGTAGCCAGAGGTGACATCTGACAGGTGGCTACAATGGCCAGTTCTATCAGGGGACAGTGACCCTGCAACTTTAACGGGGGCTCTAACACTCTGTCCATGCCAGAAAGACACTTCATTACACTAGAGCTGCCTGAGAGGAGAACAGAGCAGAATATTCCGGGGAAGAAGTTTCTTCAAAAAGTTGTTGGCTCTTCTGCTGAGAGGAACCTGCCCTCCCAGCCGGCAGAGAGCATTCTTCACATGGGTCACTTGCTCATAAAGCTATTTCAATGAAGCATAAAGTGCAGATGAGAAAAGGCAGACAGCACCACACTCGAGCCCTGGGAAACCTCTCAGGAACAGAAAAATAGGAGTGCAAATTAAATCCCCTATGAATAATGAAGTAACCTGCATTTGTCAAAGTCCTTCTGTTTAAAAATGGATTCCCAACGTTGTACTTCACAAATTGCATTAAATGATCTGTACTTGCTGCACATCAATCACTTCAACCAGCAGCTAGAATCTTTTCAGTTGTTTGGCATCTAGCATTTGGCAACTAGCAGAGTGCAAAAGGAAGCATGAAAGGACTCTACCTTTAACTTACATAAGACCTATTTACTGATATCCAGTGCTGGCAATCAAGACGGTGGCGTGAGGGGGTCACTGGGGTATTGGTTATACTGTTTCTTTTCTTTATAAATTAACATATAATGTGTTATTTGTTTCAGGGGTACAGGTCTGTGATTCATCAGTCTTACACAATTCACAGCGCTCACCATAGCACATACCCTCCCCAATGTCCATCACCCAGCCACCTCATCCCTCCCACCCGCCTCCATTCCAGAAACCCTCAGTTCGTTTCCTGAGATTAAGAGTCTCTTATGGTTTGTCTCCCTCTCTGGTTTCATCGTTTCATTTTTCCCTCCCTTCCCCAATGATCCTCTGTCTTGTTTCTCGAATTCCACATATCAGTGAGATCATATGATAATTGTCTTTCTCTGATTGACTTATATCGCTTAGCATAATACCGACGTGGATAAACTAGAGGTTATACTGTTCCTTGATCCAGGTGCTGGTTACACAGGTGTGTTCACTTCGTAAAAATTCACTGAGCTACACAATTTGGATTTGTGTATTTTTCTATATGTATGTTGCACCTTGATAAAAAGTTCACTAAACTGAAAAAAAAAAAAAATTACAAGAACTCTTTTGTCCCTGACATCTGGTTACCGTTTGTAAAGTCTATACAAGAGAAAACAGGCTGAGAGCAAAAGCTAAGTCCATCTCTGTTTATCTGAAGTGTGATGGGCTCATCAAAGACATGCAAAACAGAGAATACAGTTTAAAAGCAACTGGCTTAACTTTCACCACAGAATATCACCTTGTTCAGACCCACAGCGCAGGCATGGGCTGTGCTACTGCTAGGCAGACGGTCTTAAGCCAGAATAACACTAGGAACACAACTCAGACTTGTGCCCACGAGTGATGATCAGTGCGAGGCTTGGCGTTACTGCTCAAGACCCAACAACGTAAGCCTCAAACCAGGTTAAGTCAGTGATCAAGCCAGGATTAGACCATTTGCTCTCTCATTTCTACCCAAGCAGATGGAATCACCGCTCTGAGATCCAAAAGTTGTCTCTCTCAAGCTAGGATTATCGAGATAAAGGCTTTTAACATTAATATCCAGTGTCATTAGCTCTTCAACAGATAGTGAGGGTCACACATGGGCTTCTTACATCAGCAACAGTTTAGAAATTTTTTTAGATAATTCACTCCACAGATCGGCTATTTCTTCAAGGGCACAGAAGAAAGGCTCCACGAAAAAGTTTTTGGTTCACAAACCTAATTTATGAACGGAATAGTTTTCTAGAAGCCGGTAACAGAGAGTTACTTAAAGCACATGGTGGCTTCCTCAGCCCACATTTATTTTCGTTTTCCTGTGTTCTCTATCTTCATTTCTGTTCTGTCTGGTCTGCTGTCTCACACCATCTCTCGACTTTCAATCTCCTTTCCACAAACTATTTGTATCTATTAAGGAATGAACCTCACTGGCTAAGAAGTCCTGCCCAAACATATCTGAGAAAATTCCCATCTGTCTTAGGCATGAACAACTAGGAATCTCTGTTCCGTCATGGAGCAGAATGGACTGTGACATTTTAGTCCCACCCTGTCCTTTAACACACTCTGCAATACCGCAGAGATCTGCCATTTGGGAAACTGATAGCAAATGATACCCACTACCCAGGTGTCCACAGCAGCAGCCATTGAATGTCCATGATCCTAGCACTGCACAGGGTGCTCTGCATACTTTCCCCAATCATCCCAACAACCCCACAAAGTATTAAGGAGCACCTCCATTTTATAGGTACATAGGTTTGGGGAGCTGAAGTAAGGTCACACAACCAGTCAATTCCAGAGCTAGGATCTGAACCCTGGCCAGGCTCTAAGGCCTGCCTGCCTGTGCTCTATGCATGAAAGAAAGCAGTCTCGAGTCTAATTTGGCTCTGAGGCCCCCCAACCCCTCACATCGTCCAGACACCAACAGTCTAAGCACTCACTAGGTTCTTTGAGACGTAGCTGGATGGCAGGGCTGTCGCTCTTGTCTCGTTTTATGCCCAGCACTTCCCGTTCCCACTCTCTCTCTCGGTTTTCTTCTTCAATTTGCCGTTCAGCTTGGGAACAAATCCGCAGCAGCCGCAAGCAGAGAATCTGGTGCAGTCGCATAAAGATATACCAGTTGTTATTAACATAGAAGAGGTTGTATACTTCATCCATCCCTCTTAACTTCTGAGCTGCTGTGTTACTAAACAGTAGCTTGGACTTAGGGGGACTGCCCCCAACACCATTGTGCTTCTTAGCTGCCCCTGTGGCTTCATCTACATCCATCTCTTCTTCTTCCTCTTCCTCCACATCTGAGAGATCACCTCTCTGAGCAAAGAGCAGATCTGGAATGAAATGATGCATGATTTGCTTGATTTTATATTTGTCCTCCTTCTGAATGCCGGTCTGCCTTTTCACATGGTGGATAATCAAAGCAGCGGCATCTTCCAGGATCTGTTTGTCTTCGTAGGCAAGTGAGAGGTGTGGGCCAACAGGTACACCGGCATTGTCTTCTGTAGCCTGCTCTTGCCTCTAACAGGAGAGAGACGCAAAGTATTATGTGACATGTGTCCAGCAACAAAAAGACCTACGAGACTGCACCAGCAGTACATACCATTATTAACCACAGTGGCAACTGTCTTCCAACCCACAACTTGCAGAAACAGAAATAGATAATGCGGGAGGTATGGTCTGACACCAACATACTGGTATCTTCTACACTGTGAAGACCTACTGGGGACAATGGGACAAAACTGGGACCATCTTTCAAAATTCTGTATTTATGGATATGGAGGATACCACATGAGGTCTAGGACTTGAGGTCTCCAATCTGGGGGGGGGGTGTGGAAGGTGACAGATCTAACAAAACAGGGATACTTATTTACCACTCTCACGCCTTCCATCTATGTTTGACATTTTCATGATAAAATGCTTTTAAAAATTCAAGATCACATAACTTTTAGGAATTCTCAATCATACTGTATTTATGTCTCTATCCACTCCCCATGACTATGAGCCCCAAGAGAACAGGATCAATTTCTTAATCATCACTGTATCCTGCCTCCCAGTACTATATACACTCCTGGTAAGTATGCTGAATAAACACGGAAAAGAAAGTGTCTGGGGATTAATGGTAAGTTTCAGTTGTGGGAAGTTGAGAGGGGCTACGTGAATGAAGAAGAGGTACCATTTTGAGGGAAACAGACGGAAAGACACGTGAAGAGGGAGGCAGCAGGCAGAGACAAAGCCAGGATGGTAAACTGGGAAACCAGTAAAGCAGCTCAGGAATAAAGGTAAGGCTTGGATTTAAAATGGCAGAATCAGGAATAGAAGGCTGTGGCAGTTTTGAAGAATCAACATGTCTCAGAAGGTCTTGCTTTCATATACCAAAGATGATTTCCAGGAATCAAAGCCGTGCTGAACATAAAGTCTGGGGTCCTCTCACAAATATAAAAACCTCCAGCTCACCTCATCATAGATACTCTCAATCTCGTTGAGTAAGCTCTTTGACCTCAGGACCTTGGTGTCATTCTGTTTAAAGTTGATGCCCTGGTGGTCCAGAGACTTCAGGTAGTATTTCTCATTTTGCTCTCTCCACACCTTGTTAAAGCCTCTCTGAGCTTCTCGCCATTCTTCCTCTTTCATCTTCAACCTGGAGAGGGGGGAATAGGGGAAGTAGAAACAACAAGACATGGGAATTCAGATGTGGGAATTTTAAGGGAGGGAGTTAAACTCCTTGGGTTTGAATCCTGGCTCTGCCATATGAGATGGTTTCCTTATCGGGAAAATAGGGATAACAGCACCTACTCTCTAAGGGTTTTTTCTTTTATTTTTTAAAAGATAGATAGATTGAAATATTTGAATGTTTAATACTTTGTTCTACATACAGTAATAATAAGATAGATTGATCTATCTATCTGAGAGAGAGTGAATGAGAGACAAGCACCAGCAGGGAGACGGGGAGGGGCAGGGGCAGAGGGAGAAGCAGACTCTCCGCTGGGCAGGGAGCACAACGTGGGGCTCGAACCCAGGACCCATGTCCTGGAATCATGACCTGAGCTGAAGGCAGACGCTTAACCAACTGAGTCACCCAGGCGCCCCTCTCTAAGGCTTTAGAAGTGAGAAATGTATCAGACTTACTTTATTTCAAACGTCAAAAGATACAATAGGTCAAAATTATTGGCAACTTGGGATACTGTTATTCAAATTGTTATATTGTTAATCAATCCAGGCTTGAACTCTGTTACATGAGGAAATTACTCATCCAGGACGTATTTTGGGGAGGTAATTTGTCCCAAAGTCAGAAATCTTACCTAGTTATTTCTCAACAGCAGTCCACAGAATACCCTTGAAAAGGGGGTTCACTTCCTTGGCCAGCTAAAACAAGCACATCTCTTTGCTGCAGGACTTCTAAGAACATTCACTACACTAATGTAAATGCAGAAGTCCGAGAGCAGAGAACTCGCATAGCAGTAATGCTCCTTTGCACACAGAGTTTGGGAATTTCTGATGGCACAACCGATCGAGAAGAGTAAAATCAAAAGCACTAGAACTGAAGAGTATCCTACATCTCAAAGCCAAAAGTTAAATGCTGCCAGCATGGCAAGAAGAGGGACAGCCTGTGCCAGCTCTTGAGCGAATGACTAGGGAGGAACAAGAAAAGCCGGGCATCTGTGAGCTGTGCAGCAGACAAGAGTTCCTTCACACCACCGTTGCAGGGGATACTGAGAGAGGTCCCAGCTGTTAGCTGGGATTCACAGCAAAGAGCCATGGACTTGGAGGAGCCTGGGGCTCAGCTGTAGCTCTGGCCTCCTTGATGCCTGGTCTTGGGTGTGTACAACAGCCCCTCTACACCTCAGGCTGAAGGCTTGTCAGGAGGAAAAAGTAAGACATTCTTGGTAAAAATGGCAAGCTAGCCTTTTTAAATAAACATCAATTTTACAAAGACAAAAAAGAGTGTTTTCCTTATTAAAAAACAAAGATGTTAACAATCGTTAATATTGAGTGGCAGGAATGTGAGTGGTTGTGTTCTACTTTGTTCTTTTCCATATTTTAAAATATTCCCTTAAACACAAAGAGCATTCCACTATGGACTTTCAAGGTTTGTTCTCTACTGCTGATTACACAGAACCCCATCAAGAAGCTCCATTATCCCATGCTGAACCTAATTTCCAACAACCAGTGTTGGGGTGAAATGGAGGTCTTGTGGGATAGTAACCAGGTTGAAAATGAGGGCCTTAGTTAATGGGACACTGAATCTGTCATGAAGCACACTAAAGCACGAAGGGCACACTCAGTCAGTTACCTTTTGAGGACAATTGGGACGGCAATGGAAGGGTTCTTCCTCAGACCATCAATGATGTCAGCTGCTTTATCAGCATATATCCTCTGGAGTGCTTTTCGATGAATAACTTCCGACGTGCCCCCAAGGGTGTTGTCCAAGCGAAATTTGGCTTGTTCCTCAGCAGACAAGCGAGAAAGCTTCTTCTGTATTGCTTCCAGAACCCGGATCGTTGCCAGATTGGTTTCTAAAACTACATCAAGCTAATTCAAAAGACAAAGTGTGCTCAGAACCCAAACCAGAATAGAATAGCGGTCAAAAGTATGAAGTAGGCAGCCAAATTCCTTGGATTTGAATCCTAGCTCTGCCACAGTAGCCATACAAAATTCTATTTCCTTATCAATAAAATAGGGATAACATCACCCACTCTCATAGGCTGTTTTTTAGATTAGACAATATAATCCAAATAAAGGATTTAGTGCAAGGCCCAGCAAGTAACATCCAATAAAAGATAGATTAAGTGGTAGTTGTTACTTCTAACAACACCAGTGTGCTTTGCTTAGGACTACTGACCCCAGACCACAGGGACCTCACAGGAGGCAACCTTACTGACACTTTCCCCTGAACTTTACTGGATTGTTAAAATCTGTTACAAATGATAAAATGAAAACAAAATGAAACAAAATACACAACAATCCCCAAAAGATGATAAATGATGATAAATCAGTCTTATGTGTAAGGTTTTTCAGGGTAACTTGAAATATTTAAATGTTTAATAGCCTTGTTCTACATTCAGTAATAATAAGAGCAGTGACTATCATTCCTTAAGGACTTCAATGTCGTATCTGTGAGTAATCATTTAAATTCTAACAACTCCTGGCACTTACTTTCTGGCAAGGGCCTACCCAGATCTGGTTAAGGATATGACTAGCAACCTTTGAGTGAGTAACTCTTGTCCTAAGCTTCACACAAAATTCTCCATATGAGAAACAGAAAATGAAGTAAACAAGAAGTCTCAGGGTCCCATGACCAAATGTCTATGTAAGTGTTCCCAGTGTGGCACAGTCGGTTGAGCTTTCAACTCATGGTTTCGGCTCGGGTCAGGATCTCAGGGTCCTGAGACTGAGCCCCTCAGGGGGGCTCAGCGCTCGGCGTGGAGTCTACTTGAGATTCCCCCCACCCGGCTCTCTCTGCCCCTCCCCTGCTCTGTGACATGTGTGTGCACGTGTACTCTCTCAAGCAAATAAATCTTAAAAAAAAAAAGTGTCCCAAAGTAATTCTGATGAGCAGGATCCCCCACTAAACATCAATGCACATGTAGCATGATCAAGAAATAAATCTGTTTTTTTCAAGCCACTGAAATTTGGGGGTTGTCCACACTGCAGGATCACTAACCTATCCTGATGTATAAAGGAATGCTCCTTCAAACTAGCCCATCCCACTCAATCCTAAGCACATGCACACACACCTTCATCCTCATGCCTGTAATCACAGAAGGGAAATGCGGATGTTGCCTTTTATAGGCATACCAATTGAGAATAGGAACATCCTGTCAGAAAAAGATGCCAATCTCTGCTTTCTAACTCCTCATTTAACCTTACTAAACGTAGGTAACAAGGAAATGCTTTCTTCAGCCTGATACACATTCCATGGAAGTTAGCATCTGTCATGATTTCGTTTTGTGCAAATGGTTGAAACTCCTCATGAACACTGGGGCCAGTCACCTGCCAGTGACTGCCACAACATGTGGCTCTTCATTCAAGACATGCCAGAAACAGCTGAATCAAGTGTGAAGGGGGAATGGCTGGCAGAGCTAAATCAGCATGGATTTAAAAAAGAGCAAGATCTCTCCCATCTATATGAATAAGCAGGGCCAGTTACTTTTATATAATAAATACATTAAATAGGATACACATCATTTTACCTCTTCAGACACATTGAACATTCCCTTTTTGTTGATATCAGTGAGCTAGATGTTTTAACACACTGGGGATTCTGAGCCCACTCTCACTGCTCCTACTCCTGTACGGAGGCTCTCCCAGCTCACTTATTTACTCCAGCTCTTCCCTTCCCGACTACTTTAAAATAAAGCCCTGATTTCGCTTTCTTTCACAAGGAGCCAAATAAATAAGATATAGGAGAGAAGAATTCCAGTTCTCACAGGAGAGTTGGTTTGCTAACCATGTCAAGATACCTGCTAAGAATGACAATATACACTTTAAATAATTAAACCTCTTTAAGAAAGTCCAGTCAGCCTTAAGATATAAGATATGTATGTGTTTTGTATACCCTGTAAAACACAATAAACTTTAAAATGTTGTTAAAAATTCAAGGAATTATTATTCAGCCATCAATGGATAACTTCAAAAGGGTTAAAATGGCCTAGATAGGTTACACTTGCCCTAAAATACTACTAATATATTTGATGAACTCGTAAAGCATTGTAAGTAGAACAATAAGCATTTACTAGTGAAGAACATGAGCCTTTGGCTCTTTGGTCTTAAAAAGCCAAGCCTCACAGCAGGTATTTAAGATATCTTAGCATTTAGTGCCTCCCATTTCCACAACCTCCAAATGATGAAGGAGCTTGTACCTCAAAGCGTTCATCTTCACAACGATAGATGTGTTCTTCATACTGGGTTTTCTTGGAACTAACAAAGGTGGAGTCCTCAGACCAGGAAGGGAAGGAAACCCAAGTATCATTTAAAACCTTTGGGTAAAAGAAGAGAAACTGAAGCTAAAGTGTAACAAAGCTTTCTGGTAATTAAGCATTCTCGGTAAAAAGACAGACATAACTCTAGAGAATGGGAGAAATGACTAACATTACAGCTTTCACCTTTAGCAAGTTTGGAAAGATGGGAAAGGTTCTGGATAGTAGTATAAAACATTTTCTTCTGAGAAAAGACAAAGAAGGGACTTGATTTCCTCATTCACATAAATTCTCAATCCCTGGTGTCACTCCCTTCTGGAGGCAGGAGAAGATTGAGGGCTGATCCTTTCTAGGGAAAGCCTTACCTCTTTACAGAGAGGAGTCCGTCCTGTACACTTGGGCTGCTGGTAACTCTTTGGTAGGGCTCGATAGCTGGAGCCCAACCGTTTACAAGAGGCATAATCTATCTCCATGGCAATGCCCTCTGTGGCTCGCTCCTTTGGAAAGGTTTCCAGATGTACAGACTCCTTATAGCCCAGAAAATTTTTAAACCAATTAAACAATTCAGGGAATTTCCTAAAGAATCAAACCAAAAACTGGTGAGCAATTAGAAGCACGATGCAGTTATCCTGCTACTACTATTTGGTGTTGGGTCAGAACTCTGCTACCAGGGACAAATTCCAATGACAATTATTATTTCCTGCCTAAGAAGTCCTGCTTCTGAGCATCTGGCTTCCCCCTTTCTTGTAGAGCACTCCAAGACCAGTTAGGGTACTGATGGAAGAGTTGCACCAAAACTAAGCAATAACCAGCTGTTCTTCTAATCAAGAAGACCGCTTTAATGCTCAGATCATTCTTAGGTTGTCAAATACAGTCAAGATTCTAGAACCCCAGGGGTGCCTGGGTGGCTCAGTTGGTTGAGCGGCTGCCTTCGGCTCAGGTCATGATCCTGGAGTCCCGGGATCGAGTCCCGCGTCGGGCTCCCTGCTCAGCAGGGAGTCTGCCTCTCCCTCTGACCTTCTTCCCTCTCTACCATTCTCTTTCTCTCTCAATAAATAAAAAAATCTTAAAAAAAAAAAAAAAAAAGATTCTAGAACCCCAGAAGAGACTGGTCTCTATAAACATCCAACAGTGGTCAGCGCACCGGGAAACCACTAGTCTTGGCCGATGCCCTCTCTGCCTATTTTTCCATCTGTAGAGTTAAACTAGAAGAATTCCCGGAGGACTCCTGTGACACTGACATTTTATGAGTCAACTAACTGACCCACCATCATCAAATCATGTTTGCCCATCACATACCCTCACCTCCATAGCACCCATCAGGGCTGAGCCCTTCACTCCACTTACCCCAGGAAAGGAGAGACTAGCTGTACAAGCTCAGCCCGAGAGATCACCTCCTGGTTAAAGATAACAAGACAGCGCAGGAAATTCTCATAGGCCTCTGCACTCCGTAGAGCCTTTCGGACCTTATGGAGACAACAAGAGAAACAGTTAGATGGGAAATCAAGAGATCCCAGATTGCTTTTAAAAGATTGGGAAATTTAAAGTTATTTGATGATACTACAGGAGCTGATGTTAGTTTTTTTAGATGTGATAATGATTATGTTTGAGAAAAGTGTCACTTTAAAAGGAAACTTACTAAATACTTATGGATGAAATAACATAATATCTAGGATTTGTCTCCAAGTAAGCCAGGGTGGGTGAGAGTACATATGAAACAAGTACACTGGCTAGTAGGAGGGAACTGCAGAGGCTGGATGATGGGTACATGAGGAGTATTCCACTCGGCTCCTTCATTTCACATGTTTAAAATGTTCCACAATAAAAAAAAATATAAATGAGATCCTAGAGTATTACATTTACCTTCTTATATGCTTGATTTTCCAACCATATCAGAGTTACCCTAGTTTTTGTTGCTTCTTCTGACAGATGGTTACAGCAAGAATCTTTGTCAACACTGTTTTTAAACTCTGGTAATCTTGAATAATTTTTTAAATAAGACACTTCTGTCCTCTGAACTGATCCTTTTCCTTCCTCCACTTATAACACTGAACACTTTAACATCCAAAAACCTAAAAATGGTCAATGGCATACACAAGGTAAAACTAGCCTGACTAGATGAGCTATGTGGAGTTTCAATTTCAAAAGTAAATATTTAGGGGCGCCTGGATGGCTAGGTCGTTAAGTGTCTGCCTTCAGCTCAGGTCATGATCCCAGGGTCCTGTGATCAAGTCCCACATCAGGCTCCTTGCTCAGCAGGGAGCCTACTTCTCCCTCTGCCTCTGCCTGCACCTCTCCCTGCTTGTGCTCACTCTCTCTCCCTGATGAATAAATAAAATCTTAAAAAAAAAAACCAAAAAACTGTAAAAGTTTAAAAAGTAAAAAAAAAAAAAAAAGAAAGTAAATATTTAGTATTGTGGTCCTTTAGTGAGGACTGTAGACAGATCCTCACCAAACCAAGCAGTTTAGCAACAACCCCTTCTCCAGGCTCCTGTATACTTTTATAACTATCAGTCAGTAGACATTACATGGAATATGCATTTTCACAAAGCCAAAGATGAAAGAGAACTGTCCTTTTTGTACTATACATAATATTGACTGACTTCTAATTTTTTATCAGCCTTTAAACATGCACAAAAGTAGACTGAATAGTCTAATGAACCCCATGTATTTGCCCAGCCTCAATGATCAATATATAGTAAATTCTATTTCATCTATAACCATTTCCTCCACCACTGAATTTTAAAGCATATTTCAGACATTTCATCTATACAGCTGACCTCTGAACAACATAGGTTTGAACTGTGTCCCACTTACACAGGGATTTTGATACATACAGCACTGTAAATGTATTTTCTCTTCCTTATGATTTTAATAACATTTTTTCTCTAGCTTATTATACAGTATACTGTATAAAAAAACATATAAAATATGTTACTCAACTGTTAAATATTATCGGTAAAGCTTCTGGTCAACAGTAAGTTTTTGAGGAGTCACAAGTTATACTCAGATTTTCAACCTGCATTGTTCAAGGGTCAACTATATCAGTATGTGTCTCTAAGAAATAAGTACTCCAAAGACAAACAAAAAAATACCATCACTCTTTAAAAAATTAACTTATTCACACACCACCCCTCCACTCTTGCATTGTCATTTGTTGGTTGTGAGCTGGGCTTCCACATTTCCCTTAAAAGCACCAAATGCCCAGGAAGCCCTCAGGAATGGTTCAAATCAGAGCCAAAGACTCAACTGTTAGGCAGGAGAGCTCACACAGGTGCAGCAGGCTAGAGAGAGATCAGGAGGCACCAATCATGGAGATGCTAAAACACCTGCCCTTTTGCAAAAAACCCAAAGTTGCAAGACAGGGTAAATCTGCACCAGATCATTCCAGGCTGGTTCCTGCCAGTGAGAAGTCTGACAGTTACCAATTACCCTGACGAAAGCAGCCCGCTAGTCATCAAGTTGACTCCAAGGAGGAAGTCAGACATAGGAGGAGAGTTAAACCAATACATCACACACAGTTTTCACCAGTAATCGCAACGCTGGCTACTTATCAGGATCACCTAGGGAACTTTGAAAACATACAGTTATATCAGAAATCCCACAAACCCTATATGCAATACCACATATAAGTACCACAAGCAATTAGAAGATTACAAGTCATCTGAAGTCCTCAACAACTGGTACAGACCTGGATATACAGTGGGGAGCTCCAAACATCTTTCAAGAGTAACATCATGCATTTTTTATTTTATTTATTTATTTTTAAAGATTTTATTTATTTATTTGAGAGAGAGAGAATGAGAGATAGAGAGCACGAGAGGGAAGAGGGTCAGAGAAGCAGACTCCCCGCTGAGCAGGGAGCCCGATGTGGGACTCGATCCCGGGACTCCAGGATCATGACCTGAGCTGAAGGCAGTCCCCAACCAACTGAGCCACCCAGGCGCCCAACATCATGCATTTTTTAAAAGCGGTCTTCCACCATGGGAAATCCTATAAACTACTTCACAAAACCCAAACAGACAATGCTATTTCCCTAGCTGTGCTAATGGTTCCGGTAGCCTGAAAGGACCTACAACTTAGAAACTATGTTAACAGGCAGAAAGTCCTATCAGCTTCAAGTCTCTATAACAAAATCTTCTTGGGGATTGGGTGATTTTCTTCTGGCATTAATAGCCTATATTAAATCTAATTCAATCATTACTCACCTTATCAAAAAACAATGATTCCGTTCCTACACCATGCTTGCTGGCATCTGCCATGGAAGAATCCTTTAAGCTGAGCAGTTTAGGTTTCTTCTGCAAAAAAGGAAAAATACACATGTGAGATCCAAGGAGTAGCGTTCTTGGAGTTTTATTTTCACCTGTGTTCAATGGGTCCATCACTGACCACTGCTGTCAATAATTTGCAACAAATGAGAGAATTCAAATCACTCACTCACTCTACCCCCTAAAAGATTTCCACCTATCTTCTCCATCTCACCCTGAGGTTCACAGATCATTCTATTTCCCAAATATACTCTCTACAAATGGTCACCTCATTACTGTGATAACAGAACATCCTAACTTTTTCCATTAGCCAAAGTAACTTTATTTGGAACCTAGTGCCACTAGCTCATCTTCTTAGAGGTGGAGGCAAAAGTGGAAGCACACTGGCAGAAGTGGATAGAAATCAATCTTTAACCCGTAACTATAATTCAATTTAAAAATTCATGAAAAAAGGCACAATTTATTTTCCTAAGAGAAGGAATGACTCTCTCTCGTCAGCAAGATCTACTCGGACCAATTTAAGATTACGTTTTCAAAGGGAATGAGTAGGCCATGACATAACCGTCAGGCAAGAATTCACTTTTAAAAAGCCATCTCTAAACTACCTGCAAAGAAATGCACAAACTTTGGGAGAAACAGCACATTTACCTTGACCACCTCAGAGTGCACTCTCTCAAGATCCAAAGCCTCTGCTGCTTAGGCTGCCTAAGGAGAAAAGTAAGTAGGGAATTCTAATCCCCCTTTCTAGTGTTTCCACCTGAGGGTAATCAAGTGTGGGCGGGGACCAATGCAAGAGTGGAGCTTAACTGCCAACCTCATTCTTGCTACCCATATAACACTCTTTACTGAAGTGACGAAATATAAACTATTTCTACGTTCAATTTGCTTTCAAAAGGAAAAGCCATTACAAACACTAAAAAAAAGTCTGATTTCAAAAGTGTGAGCAACACCTGTCAGTCTTTGTAGTCCTCTTCTTGTTCACCAGTCACCTCCTACTGTTAGAAATTCCACTAACTTTTATTATTCATTCATTAGATTCTGCAGACACGTCCATCTCTTCCACATTACACACTGCTTTGGAATTCATTGAAGCAACATTCAGTACATACACCTAGCTCTGTCCCTAACACAGCTGCACTACATCAAAGTGGAAGAGCACAGGCTTAGCTTTCCGCAGGCAGACCACCGGTGTTTACTATAACGAGAAGCATCGTGTGATACATCACTAACAGAAATTTAAGATGCCCCCCTGCTACAGCCCAAAGGTCCTGCCTTGGAGATTACGATGATACAGATAAGATCTGGCAACCCAACAAAGAAACCTGGGCAGGATGGGCCTCTAGACCAAAGAGATCTCACAAAGTATATACACTTTACTCACAGGAGGACTTTAGAGACCACTTGACTTATTTCTGAAACAATTAGCTTAATAATCTTCCTTCTTATTATCACAAGGCAGGTTGAAGGCACCAAGTCAGAGGAAGGGAAAAATAGGTAGGTCTCAGAAACCTTTAGCATCAAACAAAAAAAGACATGATGGCTAATAGCAAAAAAGAGAAAAAATATAGAGAAAACAATAAAAACTCAAAAAGTTCAGTAATTTGTGTCATCAGTGATATTCTAACATCCTTTTGCAAAGCCAGATAAGAAGCTTTGCATTGAGTTTCTGTGACATACACCAACTCACTCTGAGTATCCATGATCCAACTTTCAACACGCTTGGATAAGAACCCGTGAACAACCCTAGAGTACTTGTCCATGAGAACTGCTCCTGAGAGTCAGACTGTGCAGCCGCCGCCCACTCTCACCTTTACCGGAGGGGTGGTTCCCGATCCCGAGTGCCGACGGATCTGGCAGCCATTCTGGTTGGGCCTCTGTGGCTTGTTGTTCAGCTGCGGCTTCTTCACAGTGCCTCCATGGTCATTTCTCACAGAATCAACCTTCTCAGCGGTTGTTTTGCTTAAAAGCTAAGTAAGACACATGAAAGAAATTATATCATTTAAAAAAAGTCAGCTTCTGTTTCCAGCTTCCTAACTTATTTAAGATAGTAATTCTAAATAGTGTAGTTCTTTCTAAGTAAAACTTACCACAGAGCTGTTGGCATCTGGTAGGAACTGTCCAAACTCTGACAACAGATCTTCCTGATTTTTAAAAAGACGAGCCACCTGGGCATAGACCTCCTGCTCAGTCAATGCTGGAGTGTAGTTTCCTCCAGCTTCCTTGGCATTTCGTTGCTCTTTCTGACAGGAAATTGCAAATGGGAAGGTATCATATTAGAAGGCCACTGTTTTGAATGACTCCCTTTTGCACACTTTCTGGGATGTGCACACTACTTGGGCTGTACCTAAGAAGAAAAGTCTCTGTTCTTAGCACTTGTTTTAACTGCAAGCTTTTAAGGAGAAATGAGTGGAAGATGGTGGCTGACAATTTTTTTAAAACTAGGACAGGGATAATGTTCATAGCAGCAATGTCCACAATAGCCAAACTGTGGAAAGAGCCGAGATGCCCTTCAACAGATGAATGGACAAAGAAGATGTGGTCCATATCTACAATGGAATATTACTCAGCCATCAGAACGGATGAATACCCAACTTTTACATCAACATGGATGGGACTGGAGGAGATTATGCTAAGTGAAATAAGTCAAGCAGAGAAAGTCAGTTATCCTATGGTTTCACTTATTTGTAGAACATAAAGAATAGCATGGAGGACATTAGGAAAAGGAAGGGAAAAATGAAGGGGGGGAATCGGAGGGAGAGATGAACCATGAGAGACTATGGACTCTGGGAAACAAACTGAGGGTTCTAGAGGGGAGGGGGGTGGGGGGATGGGTTAGCCCGGTGATGGGTATTAAGGAGGGCACGTACTGCATGGAGCACTGGGTGTTATACGCAAACAATGGATCGTGGATCACCACATCAAAAACTAATGATGTATTGTATGGTGACTAACATAACATAAAAAACAAAAACAAAAACAAAAACAAAAACTTAGGACAGGGATGCCTGGCTGACTCAGTTGGAAGAACATGCAACTCTTTTTTATATTTTTATTGTTATGTTAATCACCACACATTAGTTTTTGATGTAGTGTTTCACGATTCATTGTTTGTGCATAACACCCAGTGCTCCACGCAGAACGTGCCCTCTTTAATACCCATCACCAGGCTAACCCATCCCCCCCCCCCCCCTCCCACCCTCGACCCCGGATTTGTTTCTCAGAGTCCATCGTCTCTCATGGTTGGTCTCCCCCTCCGAATTCCCCCCCTTCATTCTTCCCCTCCTGCTATCTTCTTCTTCTAGAGCATGCAACTCTTGATCTCGGGGTCATGAATTCGAGCCCCACGTTGGGTACAGAGGTTAAATAAATAACCTTTAAAAAATAAAAGAATAAATAAAAGAAAGACAGTATATGTGAATGCTCAGGGGACCATTACCAACCAATAAAACACAATACATTAGAGAAATGTCTCCTCCTTCAACTGTAGATGGAACTACATTACACAAACATCCTCTAAACCGCCCCCCGATAATAAGCATCTGCTTCACAGGGCAGTAACTTAAAAATCCTGTTTAGTTGTTATAAAGCAATTAAAGTCAGGCAAATCAAACTAGCTTTATAAACACACATCACAGTTTTTAACCTGTTGACTTCCAGTAACAATTAAGAGAACATAATAATGGTTATTCAAGTTCTTCTCTGACCAGATGCCCTCAGCATGTGACCTGGTTAAGACTCTCTTACCTGATATGTGTGCAAAATCTCCAGGAACGCTTTGTAGATGTCTGGTTGGCCCTGGAACCTGTTCTTGATTTTATTAACATAGTTGATGGCATGATTAAACTCCACAGGCTGATTGTTCTGCAAGGATGGGGCCGTTCCCAACGAGATTGTCACTGGTGTATGAGGCTGAACAGGTGGAGAGCGCGGGGATGCATACGGTGGGAGAGGGGGAGTCTGCTGACTGGCTGGAGTATGTGCTTGTAGTTGGGAAGGCTAAAAAGAAAAAAGTCATTATTCTTTTCAGGAACACAGATGATCTGACATAGGAAAAAAGGTCAAACTAAAGAGAAACAAGATGTCTGATCAACAAACATCCTTAATTCACTCTGGCCAGGCCATTTTAGCCCAACTCAAATCATACTGGGCAGAGGTGGGGGGTGCAAAGGGCTCACACATTCTAATACAGATATTTTAGTCCCAAATTTTCTAAATACAACCTGAAAAGTGGCTGCATCTCCAATTACAGGGAAGAATTTTTCTAATGCAATTTTTAAGCTCACTCAACAGGTGCAAACAGAAGAGGGGCGGGGGAAAAGAACAACCAACCCTCACTCTCCATATCTTTAATGTAAAAAGACACTTGTTGCAGAAATCCACATAAAAATCTTCTAAACTACCTCTGTCCAATAGAACTGAGGTGATGGCAATGTTCTTTCACACTGCACGGTCCTACAGAATACATCCACTAAGCCACCTGGGGCTACTGAGCACTTGAAATGTAGCCATTACAACTGAGAAACTGAATTTAATTAGTTTAAATTTAAACACAGCCATATGTGGCTAGTGGCTACAGTATCAGACAGTGCAGTTCTAGAATAAGAACATTCCACCACCATCATCACCACCATCAATAGGGTCTTCTGCTTGGCTTGATATGAACTAATCTGGTAAATGGAGTGACTTTTATAAAATGATGACCCTGTGGGCAGTAGCATAATCTGATCATCAGATGACCATTTCCGCCTGTGCTGTCGAAGTACTAGTACACAAGTAAAGTGGCCATCTGTTGGGGTGCTCATGGGTTCACTAGGCAGGAGGTGGAGACAAAACAAGTCCTTACAGGTTACGGATGTGTTGATTTAAACAGATATCTAAATATATGGAAGGTAAATGTAAACCAACTTATAGGGATGTGACTATGGCATCTTCTCTGGTGAAATCATTACAACTGTTGTCTCTAAGTCTTATATAAAGGGGAAATGTCAAAGGAAGGTGCTCTCTAAGGATGCATTTTACATGATGCAAAGTATTCCAAGTGCTCACCTTGCTGACTTTGGCAGGTGGGGGCTGAGGAGCTGGCTGGGCAGGAGCTGGGGCTGACTGGGCTGAAGGCTGGGAAGGATGTTGGGGTGGTGGTTGAGGCTGGGGCTGGATGCCATGGGTGGGGATCTGATGAACCTGGCCAGGAGTTGTCACGTTCACCATGTCATTGGTTTGCACCTCAATCTTGTAGCCAGGGGGCAAGAAGGTATTGAAGCCCATAATCAGGTCAGGGTGGCCTTTGAACAGCTGGGACACACGACTAATCACTCCTGGAGTGTCAATGCTGATTAAAACAAAAAACAAAACACACACACACACACACACACACACACACACACACACACACAAACACAAAAATTAAAGTGGCAAGCTTGACAACACCCTATTAAGAAAAAAATACACATTCCACTAGGTTCTCTGAACAGGAAAACAACTAAAAATCAACCTGCATTATTACAAAATCAACAAAACATAAAGAACTCTGACATTGCAAAGCAATTTTAGCCCTATATTCAAAGAGGTTCGGTCACAATTTTGAACAGAATCTACATTCATGGTAACAGTCCTAACAAGCAGATACTCAAGAGTTAATCAAAGCAGCAATTCCCATGCAAGATCCACCCTCTGACACACCAGTATAAATCATTATGTGTCTACGTTTTTCACGAATTATTCTAACAGTGAACCATGCCAGAATATTAGTGTATCTTAAATCAACTCAAAGAGCCGGTAGCCTAATCATTACCAGTCTACTTCCCTGATTGAGGTGAAGTACTAAGAAAAATTTTAGTTAAGAAAAATTAACCAATAGGGAGAATACAAAGGTCTAGGGCCCGTAACTGTCATCAATAAGGCAATACATAAAATAAAAGCAAGACCCTAAAAATTAAACCCCCCAAAAGACCGCATCCTTTATCTTTCAGCACATGAGAATGAGCCATATCCTCCCTCCAAAATCAACATTTCAAGCACAAAGCTTGAATACAACCACAGAGATCTTTTACCTCTGAGATTTAAATTCCTTCATGATGTCAAGGAAATCATTGTAGACCTGAGGCTGACTACCAAATTGCAGCTTCACTTGGTCAAGATAGGACAGCGCATCCTCCACCTGAGGTAGGGATAAATCTCAAGGTTATAAAAAGAAAGTAAACCAAGAATTATTAAAAAACAAATGATTTATGCCTAAATAAAGGCATTTCATTTAGTTAACGTACTAAACGAAATAAAAAATATAGTAAAGATACATGAGAGTATTAAAAATTTAGTATGGATGCCAATAAGACTCAAGCTTAAAATAAAAATCAATTCATAAAATTTGTAGCCTTGCCTTGGATAATTTTGGGGAGAATGATTAGTGAAAAAATCATCACATTAATATAGTATTCACTTATTCATTCATTTATTCATTTCACAAATATCTACTAAGCTACAACATACCACACCAGGCCCAACATGAGGTACTAAGGAGTCAATGACAAAAAAGCCACAGCCCCTGCTCTACAGAAGTTCATTCACATCTAGTTGGGAATTCTAATACAGTGGGATAAATGGGGGATCACCGAATGCCCAGAGGGCACATGGGAAGGGCACTTCTGCACTAAGAAAAACCCATGGGCACATAAAGGAGGGCTTCCCCAAGAAGTGACGTCTAAATCTAAACTGAGTCCTAAGGATGAGTACAAGTTAGCACAAACGAAGACAGACCTACAAAGAAAGTCAGAGGAAGCATCATGAGCAAAATCCCAGACAGGACACCATCTGGTACACTGGGAAAACTGAAAACAGTTTAGTTTGGCTGAAGGATCTGTGGTGAAAAGGAGGAACGTGGCAGGAAGAATGACAAGAGAAGAGACAGGAGAGCAAGCAGGATCTAGACCCCAAAAGGCCTTGTAAATCTTATTAAAAAGCAGTATAGGGGTGGCGCGCATGGGTGGTTCAGTCGGTTAAGCACCTGACTTCGGCTCAGGTCATGATATCAAGGTCCTGGGATCAAGCCTCTAGTCTGGCTTGACACTCAGCGGGGAGTCTGCTTGTCCCTCTGCCCCTCCCCTCACTCGTGCTCCCACTCTCTCTCAAATAAATAAAATCTTTAAAAACAAAACAAAGACCAAAAAAAAACCCCAAACAGTTTAGGGGTGCCTAGCTGGCTCAGTAGGTTAAGCATCCAACTCTTGATCTTGGCTCAAGTCATGATCTCAGGGTGGTGAGATCAAGCCCTGCATCAGGCCCTGGGCTGGGAGAGGAGCCTGCTTAAGATTCTCTCTCTCTCCCTTTGCTCCTCCCCCTTCATATTCAGAACTTTCCATACTGAAATGCTTCATTAATGATCAAGCTGATGGAACATAAAACTAAGTTTGCAGAAGAAACAAAGACTTTGGAAGATATTTAAGAATAGCATTCACGGGGCGCCTGGGTGGTTTAGTCATTAAGCGTCTGCCTTCAGCTCAGGTCATGATCCCAGGGTCCTGGGATCAAGCCCCACATTGGGCTCTCTGCTCAGCGGGAAGCCTGCTTCTCCCTCCCCCAAACCCCCTGCTTGTATTCCCTCTCTCTCTGTCTCTCTGTCAAAATAAATAAATAAAATCTTAAAAAAAAAAAGAATAGTATTCACAACCACATGACAAAGGAAGATTGTCAAAAATAAACACAAAATTGTGAATAAAAAAGTAAGCATGCTATGGTATAATAATAATTACTACAGAGAGAAAAAGTGCAGATGCCTGAATCAAAGAAATTATGTGATGTGTTTATGTCTAGAGAAAAAAAGGTACTGGTCACAGTGAACTACTATTTAAATTAGTTATAAACCAACACTATGCTTAAAAAATACCCAGCATGACAACCACATTATAAATGAACTATCTGGGGGCCTGGGTGGCTTATCCGACTCTTGATTTCGTCTTAGGCCATGATCTCAGGATTGTGAGATTGAGGTCGGTGTCGGACTCCGTGCTGGGCTAGGAGCCAGCTTAAGATTTTCTCTCTCCCTCTGCCCCTCCACCCCAATAAACAAACATACTATCTGTATGTAAACATAGTGAGGAAATTCTCCCATTACCTAAAGTATAGTTCAACTCTTTACAAAAGAGTGTATGAGGCTCTAGGAACCACAGCTTAGAAGAAAACAACTTGGAGCTGGTCCTTCTGAAGCTACAGTCCTAGGGAAGTACTTGGGGAGGCCCCAAGTCTGCTGATGTATTTTCTTGGCTCACTTCAACAGGCCTTTATTATTGAGATCCCTAACCTCTTAAAGTTCACAATCTTGTAGGGGAAACAAACACAAACAACTGTAAAGAGAACTTGCTAAAGATGTGCCAAATATCTATGCTGCTAGCATTCAACAAGTAGCTAAATCACATCAAACATGTCTGAAATTATTCAAATCTTTCTTGTCATCAATCTGCCAAAGACAAAAAAGAAAGTATAGACAATGCTGATGCTTGAAATAACCTAAGTATTTTCACTGAACACTCCTCATTATAGAATATAAATAGTTTATTGAAGTTGATTCAAATGCTTGTAAAGCATTTTAAGACTGATCCAAAAATGGCAGGCAATGTGGGAATACATTGAATGAAGCTACAATGGAGGCACAAAAAAGCACTTTACCCCTCCTCATCAGAACGGGAATTCAACACGTTATTGTATCCAGGAATCATATACAAGAGTGAGAAGAGAAGGAACAGAGCAACTGACTCCGCCCATGACTCACTCTATAACCTCAACTCCAGAACGCTTTCTTGCTTCCTTGACTGTTTCTGTAAAACAGACAAGGCACATCTGTATACTTATACCCAAGTCAGGGAGAAGAGTAAAATAGTGCTGTGCTTTCATAGGACTGGCTGAAAAAGCCTATAGAAATACACATTTCTGTTAGTTTAACAGCAAGTTTAGAAGCTCTTTGGCATCATTAAGGTATTAACTAATTGCTGAATTAAATCATACCAACCAACTTTAAAAAATATTTTCAGGACTTTGTGAAATGCTAAGTTCATGGCAATAATACAGTTTGGTACACAGCCATCACTCTACAAGCAGACAGGCAAAATGTTTTAAGAAAAACATCAATATAGCTTACACAAATTTTCCCAAAGATAGAGCCCAGAGTGAAGTTTCAGGCCCAAATAATTTGTATTCTCTTTAAAGACTATGCCTAAGTATAGCCAACTCTTTTTTTTTTAAGTATAGTCAACTCTTAATTACTTAATATAGACAAAATAAATTTTACAAAATCCCTCTATATAGTTTAGTTTTGGTATGCTTTATATATTTATGTAGCATTTAGTTTCCTTAGGCCAAAATTAAACAAGTCCCTGAGAACTCAAACCAATGTGGGCAGGGATTAGGGAGAACTAGATTTAAGTATCAAGGAAAACAGAGGGCCGAAATGTTTGCTACACATGGAAGTATCCTTCAAGGGTATACTCTTCATT